CGTGGTTTTGGTTCAACTCTGGTTTTTAACACCAACACTGGGGTTATTTTAAACCACTGAGTGTTAATTTAACTCATGAATCAACACCAGAAATATTACACACAACAACAAAAAAATCTACAAGTAAACACTGGCCAATTTGCTGTGTGCTATGAAAGGGACACATCTGCAGGCTTCCATACATTTCAAGAACCTTTTAGAATTCTGAAGATCCGTTGATGTCAAGAACCCCACACTTAACTCAAAAGTTATTTATCGAGCAAGAGTTCTCCAAAGGAACTTAAAGGGATACTTCGTAATGTTGGCAATGAGGCCCTTTATCTACTTCCCCAGCGTCCGATTAACTTGTGGATACCATTTTTATGTCTCTGCATGCAGTTTGAAGGAAGATGCTAACTAGAACTAGTGCAATTGCTAAATAGTGTTAGCGCTTATGCTAGTTAGCATTGGCTCACGAAACTACCTCTAACTTCCTTCATACTGGACACAGAGGCATAAAAATGGTATTCACGAGTTCATCTGACTCTGGGGATGTAGATAAAGGGCCGCACTTTATCTACTTCCCCAGTATCCATTTAAGAGCTGAGGAAGAACCTTAATTTTTTTCACTGTAGGATCGGATGCAAACGTCAAATTGTAGGGAGAGAGGATTGCCATAAATAAATATGCCGCTGACATTTTTTGGGGTGATCAAGAATATTAACGGTTTACTTTGCAAGCTTACCAGCAATAGGGGAAAGCAACAATTATTAGCATAGGCCTACTGGACTTTTGGTATGTCAATTTCTTGAAATTGATAATTTACTTATGAAGCTTGCATTTGGAATTTGTTGTTAAAATGTATTATTACATAATCAAAAAGTGTTCTAGACAAAATAATGAAAAAGGCTGTCTGGTAGCCTCAATAAATAGACAAAGATTTGTAGTTGAACAAGACATTGCATGTATAGATGTTTTTTTTACTTAATTTGAACTTTTGACTCGACTTGACTTACTCTTAGAATGCACAACTTGGACTTGACCCGTTCTACTTGGGACTCGACTTGAGACTCTGACCTTGTGACTTGAAACTTGCTTGTGACTCGAATAATAGTGACCTGGTCCCACCTCTGCCTTTTCTATTGAAAACAACTCTTAAAAAAGTTTTCCTCTAGGTTTACTGATGCCAACTGTTGAATCACTAATACTGTGTTGTGCTGTAGTAGTACTGTCCAATGTGTTTACTTCTACCACACTCTCCCAGTCAGTACTGAATGCCACCCCGAAATGAATTAGACATGGACAGTAAGACTTTAAAATGTTGTTTATATTTTCCAAGAAATCCCATTTTAACATATTGGACTTTGTCAGCATTAGGCTAATCTGAATAAATATCCTATATAAACATCTAATGAATGCATCCCTTACAATAAATTGGCCAAAGAGCGTACAGGGGACAAACTCTGGTAGAGAGGGAGAAGTCATAGGGTGAAGTACTATGGAACAGCCACTGCATGTCTATGGGTGCCGCAAGCAGTCCTGTGCTGGGTCAGTGGCCCTAATGTATTGATTCCACTCTTATTCTATAGACTGGGTTCTGGGTTCTGGGTTGCCCCCACCCCCCACACACACTGAGCACGGCTTTGGGGAACACTGACATGGAAAAATACAAGAACTGGTATGTTGTGGGGCTACTGTGGTTCCCATCAGCCTAAACTAGCCATGAATAACATTACATTCTAGTCAGCACAGCAGCATGTTTATAACATGTTTATAACAACCTTAGGTAGCCTTTATAACAGCACATTAGGATGAAGTTCTGCTGAGATTTGATCACATAGCAGAAGCAGCTTTTAAAAAATGCACTGGCACTTCTCTATTTGGAAGCTGTCTGAATTTGACTCAATAGGAAATGTGTGTATAAAAACATGTGGAAACGTATGATATACATATTTGTAGTGATGTGCATCTATATCATCATCACCATAATGATGTGATGTAGCATGCAGTTACTCAAAAACTATGTAGTGTGGATACTGAAGTTGGCTACTTTGAAGGTAGGGTCTTCTAGACAAACGATGTAGCCTAATCACTACTGCCTTCCCTCAACATCAGTCAGTCAGTCCTAGCGGGACTTGGCCTACATAACCAACTTTCCACTGTCACGTGAAACGTTATTGAATAAAAAATTAATTGTTGGGTGCAGTCAGAAAAAAATTTTTTCCATAGTGCTCCATCTTTAGGTATAAAAATAAGGAAAATATATGTAAACTTTTTCTCGCATAATTCCACTCGGCAACATTGCAAAAGATGAAGACAACAGCAGGTTGTTTTCCGACTTGGCAGTGTTTTCAGATTGTGTCTATACACTCATTCAGAATGGTAAATAGACTTACTGAACAGTTATAATCAATCCTAACGATACTGGACAGGCCACAAACTTACAATAACAAGTTAATTTCTTGCTCGTGCTAAGTTTTATCACTGGAATTCGCTTGCTTGATGCAGAGATTCAAACACCTGGACATAATTCAAGGCGGTAAACTTCGACAAGAATTCACACAAATGGCCTTCCTTACTACCACTATTGAGTAGCCAAAAACTGCGGTGAGATTCAACTCTTTACCCGGGCTTCCTTCTCGATCCATGGGAAATTCAGGCCAAAACTGTGGCTGCATTTTCAGTCTGCGCCAATGCGTGTGGTTGATAGCAAACCAGTCTAGGCTAGTAGTTGAACGATTGAGCAGCGATCAGCTCGTTTTGACCCAAACATTTGCACCAGAAAACGATGTACTTTGTCACACTCACCTTGTCAATCGGCATCTGGTAGAATTAATACTTGGATTCAAATAAAGCAATACCGGCGCTTCGTCTCGCTTTCCCAGTGGCTCCGTTCTCCCGTTTTTGCAGACTTGTCTGATGAGACAAATGTTAGAATGTCGCTCTTTCTGCAGAGCTATACAACACTGCCCCACAATGGTCGACAGGGGGCACCAACACGGCATCAATTGTCCCTAATTAGATTACAGCGTTATCTCATTAAATGAATAGTTAAATTACACATTTAGCTCATCTTCTGGACAGTCTGTCCAGTAGTCCACCCAATATTTTAATTTGTTTATTTAGTAATACGGATGAAAAATAGTTCATAAATAGTTCCTACCTGTTCATTAATTTATACATTGTTTGAAAATGTGTGATATACTGTACATTCATTCAAGTACTGTTTGCCAAGTAAGTACTGAGATTATGGCTGCATTGAAATAGTAATCACACAATTCAAACCATTGTCACCCCACTACTTTCAAGAGTCTCTCCAGACCATTGAAGACCCCAACAGAAGAGGCATTCATCCAAACATTATTCAATATTCATCATGGCAGACCTATGATGAACATGTAATCTGTAATAATAAGTATAAGTAGACTGCCATTTTAATCATGTTTTATGTGGACATGTTTTGCTTATCTCTGTCAAGGTTGTGAACAACACATTGACAGACTAGACCAAAAAACAAACATACTGCTTGTGTACAAGAGTTAATGTGGACCACTTCAATTGGAGACTTGAAGTTCAAGGTTAAGCAAATAAATAGCTGGAAACACTGTATGTTTCCATGGTTTCACCTTTCTTATTTTTCTCTAAAACAGAGAGGGGCTAACAACAAGTGTCCGTCTCAAAACTGATGTCTCATTCCAAACCGTTTCTCCCCCACAACAAGCAAATAATGCAAAACTGATTCAGGATCAGTTGTCATGGGAATAAAGTCACCTCACGTCTGTCCTCTGACCTTGTGACACATGCGGTCTGTGATTTGATTTCGGAGGGGCTAAACCCGGGACAAAGCCTTCCTTCAAACAGATTTGCCTGTCTCACCAAGATCTCATGACGGGGGGCAAGGGGGGTAACATCACACAACTCATTAAGCGTCCAAGACCGACAAGGAAGCCAACACTGAGAGAGTTAACTTTATTGTCTTTGTCTTACCCAACATGAAGCAGACACAGTCCTCAGTCAATACTCTGTATGTCATGTGGCTAAATGGGGGAGTATATCAGGCATTTAACCCCACCCCCTCTATTCATCTGCCCTGGCCACAGGGACAATCGATCAATAAACCGAGGTAGTCTGATGAGCACATCATTAAAAACTATATTGATGTGTTCTGAGGGATGGACAGTGGCTGTCTGGCATGAGTCTCTGTCCTGTGCCATGTGAAAACACAGGAGACTGCTGTACCCAATGCTAGGTGAGCCAGTTCACGGCAGGAGAGAACATGACTGCCTTTATCTGGACAACGTCCACATCCAGAGTTTAGATCAACCAAGGTCTTCAACATAGAGGTCAACTACTCAATTCAGTTTGGGAAATTTAAACTAATCAAAATAATGTCCCATAATCTCTTATGAAAAAGTTCACCAATTTCATGAACTTCAAACAACATATTTCCTTAATTTAACAGGCTGGGGTTGTAACGGAGTTGACCCCATCTCGGTCTCAGCCCAACCTCCTGCCTGTTGTGCTAGAGGTAAGTGTGGCACTGCCAAGCAGACAGCTCCAGCCTCCAGGCTTGTAGATTTATTCTAATCCCTGTAAATGGTGTCTCAGCAGAGAGCCTCCTCCACGACCTTAAATAAACATTAGGGTTTTACGCCTCTATTAGTGTTCATCCCTAATCTGAAACATCCTCCAACCACAGCTCCAACGTGCTAACTGGGGTTTTCGACAGGCAAGCGCACAGGGCCCTGCTGGTAATAACATGCAGAGTAAACCATTACATTACATACTTCGCAAGAGATCTGATCTGATCAGAATAAATACACACACAATTCTTCAATTAATTCCAGATATTAATTAATAGAGTTGCATAATGATGAATGAGTATTGTTTTCATATTTATACTCTATTTATTGAAATAAAACGCCACCCTGAGGAGGTAAATGTAATGAAAAGAAGCATGCACCGTGTTGCATTGTGGGATGTGAATTCATTGTCGTGGCGGTGCATGCGCAGTAGGATTGTGTTTTACTGCCACAAGCAAAAATGGCGACGTCCCTAGGAGCTAACACATACAACAGACAGAATTGGGAAGACGCGGTACGTATTAAATCGTCCAAATAATGTGTTATAACCTGGAAAAGAAGGGTATATAAAACTATAAACTAACGGCGTAATGCCCTTCAATATATGGATCATGATTTACTAGGAAAGGCTAACGTCAGCTAGCGAACGAACGTTAGTAGCGCAAGCGTGGCTGTGTCGCAAGTTAGCTAGTTAACTTGCCAACTAGAAGCGGTTTAGCCGCACAGGTGAAAGAGGTAATTTATTGTCTTTGGCTTAGCTGTTTAAAATTATTCTAAACTGGCAGTAGCGGTGCGTGGGTAAAATAACTGGGGAAGCAACCCCCCCCCCCCCCCAATATTACAAGCAATGCATTCTCTGTGTGTGGCGCGTTCGTGCAAGTACAACACATGTTGACTCACCCTATTTGTAGAGAAACGCCAATGCCGCCATCCTCTTTCATGTTGACGAAACGGTATATCACTGTCATACAGTACACACTTTTTTTATTTAAATATTTTGTTGTCCTAGGCTACCTGGCTAAAATGCTTACTCGCTAGCCTAACTTCCGTTCATGGACAACGTTAGCTAGTTAACATTAGCCTTCTACATCTAGCTACATGTTCAACGTCCATCCTCTCAGGCCAGGGGCACAACAATGTATGAATTAATGGTTGGATCAGAATAGCCATTATAATCATTGGCAAGTACGGATAATTAAGTAAAACCAGTCCAAATCCCTATCTCCATCCATGGCAAATTTAGTCAAGGGCCAATTTTAGCTAGTTGGCTAGCTAGCCACCTGAGGACAACATCACAACGAGATGCAACAATTCCACGTTTTTCTGTCAATGGCAAATGCTCTCAATGGGATTTGATAGGAGTGACGCCAAATCCAAGCAGGCTTCCCTTGACACTTTTTTTTTGGTGCGCCAGGACCATTCACATTTGAACTCGCTCAGGTTAGCTCAACGCTGATTGGCTAATTCTTTATTATTTTTTATTTTTTCTGTGAAAGGAGGCCACTGGCTTCCCTTGCCAAGCCTTCAATGCTACAGGTGGCAAACTCGTTTGGACCAGACAGCATCAGATAGATGGCCTACACAGCATCAGATAGATGGCCTACACATAGAGAGAGAGAGGGCCGCTGTTTTGCTTGCACGGATGCTTTCTCCTGTGAGATACATTCAGCCTCTTGCGAATTGAAGGAAATTATGAAACACAGAGATACACAAGATACACCTTCTTTTTTTTTTGGTGGGGTAGCCTGGCTTCCCTTGGCATCCATGAATAGAAGCCACTGTAAACTGGGTGTTTCGAGGCCTGAATGCTGGTTGTCTGAAAGTCATGGTATAGTTTTATAATAGCAATAAGGCACCTCGGTGGGGTTGTGGTATGTAAGTGATAATGCCTGTGAAGCCAGTGTTTGGAGGATACAGTGTATTCGGAAAGTATTCAGACCCCTTGATTTTTTCCCACATTTTTATGTTACAGCCTTATTCTAAAATGGATTAAATTGTTTTTTCCCCCTCATCAATCTACACACAATACCCCATAATGACAAAGCGAAAAACATGTTTTTAGATTTTTTTTACAAATGTGTGTGTATACAGTGGGGGAAAAGGTATTTAGTCAGCCACCAATTGTGCAAGTTCTCCCACTTAAAAAGATGAGAGACCTGTAATTTTCATCATAGGTACAGGTCAACTATGACAGACAAAACGAGAAAAAAAAATCCAGAAAATCACATTGTAGGATTTTTAATGAATTTATTTGCAAATTATGGTGGAAAATAAGTATTTGGTCAATAACAAAATTTTCTCAATACTTTGTTATATACCCTTTGTTGGCAATGACACAGGTCAAACGTTTTCTGTATGTCTTCACTAGGTTTTCACTCACTGTTGCTGGTATTTTGGCCCATTCCTCCATGCAGATCTCCTCTAGAGCAGTGATGTTTTGGGGCTGTCGCTGGGCAACACAGACTTTCAACTCCCTCCAAAGATTTTCTATGGGGTTGAGATCTGGAGACTGGCTAGGCCACTCCAGGACCTTGAAATGCTTCTTACGAAGCCACTCCTTCGTTGCCCGGGCGGTGTGTTTGGGATCATTGTCATGCTGAAAGACCCAGCCATGTTTAATCTTCAATGCCCTTGCTGATGGAAGGAGGTTTTCACTCAAAATCTCACGATACATGGCCCCATTCATTCTTTCCTTTACATGGATCAGTCGTCCTGTTCCCTTTGCAGAAAAACAGCCCCAAAGCATGATGTTTCCACCCCCATGCTTCACAGTAGGTATGGTGTTCTTTGGATGCAACTCAGCATTCTTTGTCCTCCAAACACAACGAGTTGAGTTTTTACCAAAAAGTTCTATTTTGGTTTCATCTGACCATATGACATTCTCCCAATCCTCTTCTGGATCATCCAAATGCACTCTAGCAAACTTCAGACGGGCCTGGACATGTACTGGCTTAAGCAGGGGGACACGTCTGGCACTGCAGGATTTGAGTCCCTGGCGGCGTAGTGTGTTACTGATGGTAGGCTTTGTTACTTTGGTCAAGCTCTCTGCAGGTCATTCGCTAGGTCCCCCCCGTGTGGTTCTGGGATTTTTGCTCACCGTTCTTGTGATCATTTTGACCCCACGGGGTGAGATCTTGCGTGGAGCCCCAGATCGAGGGAGATTATCAGTGGTCTTGTATGTCTTCCATTTCCTAATAATTGCTCCCACAGTTGATTTCTTCAAACCAAGCTGCTTACCTATTGCAGATTCAGTCTTCCCAGCCTGGTGCAGGTCTACAATTTTGCTTCTGGTGTCCTTTGACAGCTCTTTGGTCTTGGCCATAGTGTAGTTTGGAGTGTGACTGTTTGAGGTTGTGGACAGGTGTCTTTTATACTGATAACAAGTTCAAAGGGGTGCCATTAATACAGGTAACGAGTGGAGGACAGAGGAGCCTCTTAAAGAAGAAGTTACAGATCTGTGAGAGCCAGAAATCTTGCTTGTTTGTAGGTGACCAAATACTTATTTTTCACCATAATTTGCAAATTCATTAATAATCCTACAATGTGATTTTCTGGATTTTTTTCTTCTCAATTTGTCTGTCATAGTTGACGTGTACCTATGATGAAAATTATAGGCCTCATCTTTTTACGTGAGAGAACTTGCACAATTGGTGGCTGACTAAATACTTTCCCCCCCCAAGCAGACATCACATTTACATATTTGGCTCCAATTCAAATATATCTATATTATACAGTATAATAATTCGTTATAGTAATGAATATTTAATGCAAACAATACCAGCAGGTGCTGTTAAAAAGAAGAAGAAAAAAAAAAATATATATATATACACAGTACTGTTCAAAAGTTTGGGGTCACTTAGAAATGTCCTTGTTTTTAAAAGAAAATCACTTTTTTTTGTCCAGTAAAATAACATCAAATTGATCAGAAATACAGTGTAGACATTGTTAATGTTCTAAATGGCTATTGTAGCTGGAAACGGCTGATTTTTTATGGAATATCTACGTAGGTGTACAGAGGCCCATTGTCAGCAACCATCTGTCCTGTGTTCCAATGGCACGTTGTGTTTGCTAATCCAAGTTGATCATTTTAAAAGGCTAATTGATCATTAGAAAACCCTTTTGCAAGTTTAGCTTGTTTGTCCCATTGGGCACATCAGCTTAGAGACACTGGAGATAAGTTATGGCAACTCATATGTACACACGTCTTGGACAGTCAGAGGAAACGGGTCCCTCAAGAATAACCATCACATAGTCAGAATAGCACAGGCTCATGTGAACTGGCAGTGTATGAATTGTACGGATGTTGACCCCTGTCTTTTATGGGTTCAGTTACAACCGGTTACGCGACAGCAACCTGACAGCACTTCTCATCACCCAGCCATGGGAAGTACTGTCAGGTTGCACAGATGGTATTCTGGGTTGACTTTGGAGGACAATCCTCTCTTTTCCCAACTTCTCTTTATGTGCCTCCAGTTCCCAGATAGGCCTAATAGGTCATGCCCGCATACATCAGACTTAACTTTGTATGATAACTCTTGTCATGGTAAAGCCTCCAGAAATGTTAGCCAATTGCTTTAGTGTTTTGATTCTAACCCAAAACACACTTGTACACAAACACTCACCTCACTCACTCTTGGGTGTGAACCCTGCAACCCAAAACTTCAGGAGCTGCTTATACAGTGAGGGGAAAAAAGTATTTGATCCCCTGATGATTTTGTAAGTTTGCCCAAAGAAATGATCAGTCTAATTTTAATGGTAGGTTTATTTGAACAGTGAGAGACAGAATAACAACAACAAAATCCAGAAAAACGAATGTCAAAAATGTTATAAATTGATTTGCATTTTAATGAGGGAAATAAGTATTTGACCCCCTCTCAATCAGAAAGATTTCTGGCTCCCAGGTGTCTTTTATACAGGTAACGAGCTGAGATTAGGAGCACACTCTTAAAGGGAGTGCTCCTAATCTCATCTTGTTACCTGTATAAAAGTCACCTGTCCACAGAAGCAATCAATCAATCAGATTCCAAACTTTCCACCATGGCCAAGACCAAAGAGCTCTCCAAGGATGTCAGGGACAAGATTGTAGGCGTACACAAGGCTGGAATGGGCTACAAGACCATCACCAAGCAACTTGGTGAGAAGGTGACAACAGTTGGTGCGATTATTCGCAAATGGAAGAAACACAAAATAACTGTCAATCTCCCTCACCCTGGGGCTCCATGCAAGATCTCACCTCGTGGAGTTGCAATGATCATGAGAACGGTGAGGAATCAGCCCAGAACTACACGGGAGGATCTTGTCAATGATCTCAAGGCAGCTGGGACCATAGTCACCAAGAAAACAATTGGTAACACACTACGCTTTGAAGGACTGAAATCCTGCAGCGCCCACAAGGTCCCCCTGCTCAAGAAAGCACATATACAGGCCCGTCTGAAGTTTGCCAATGAACATCTATATGATTCAGAGGAGAACTGGGTGAAAGTGTTGTGGTCAGATGAGACCAACATCGAGCTCTTTGGCATCAACTCAACTCGCCATGTTTGGAGGAGGAAGAATGCTGCCTATGACCCCAAGAACACCATCCCCACCATCAAACATGGAGGTGGAAACATTATGCTTTGGGGGTGTTTTTCTGCTAAGGGGACAGGACAAATTCACTGCATCAAAGGGACGATGGACGGGCCATGTACCGTCAAATCTTGGGTGAGAACCTCCTTCCCTCAGCCAGGGCATTGAAAATGGGTCGTGGATGGGTATTCCAGCATGACAATGACCCAAAACACATTGCCAAGGCAATAAAGGAGTGGCTCAAGAAGAAGTATATTAAGGTCCTGGAGTGGCCTAGCCAGTCTCCAGACCTTAATCCCATAGAAAATCTGTGGAGGGAGCTGAAGGTTCGAGTTGCCAAACGTCAGCCTCGAAACCTTAATGACTTGGAGAAGATCTGCAAAGAGGAGTGGGACAAAATCCCTCCTGAGATGTGTGCAAACCTGGTGGCCAACTACAAGAAACATCTGACCTCTGTGATTGCCAACAAGGGTTTTGCCACCAAGTACTAAATCATGTTTTGCAGAGGGGTCAAATACTTATTTCCCTCATTAAAATGCAAATCAATTTATAACATTTTTGACATGTGTTTTTCTGGATTTCTTTGTTGTTATTCTGTCTCTCACTGTTCAAATAAACCTACCATTAAAATTATAGACTGATCATGTCTTTGTCAGTGGGCAAACGTACAAAATCAGCAGGGGATCAAATACTTTTTTCCCTCACTGTATTTAGACTTTCTAATGAGGTGGTTGATATTGAAGACCTAAAAGGTTAGAAGTTGGACTGAAAACACATCTTCCAACAGATGGTGAAGTAGGTGCTAGTGAGTCCAGCAATCGTAGCATTCACACGCAGCATAGGGCCAGAGTACACACTGTTTGGTCAAGCAAGAAAGGTGTGAGAATGTGTAGCTTGTGACCAGAGAAACCACGCGGCGCTGTTATGATGATAAACCAGTATTGCTGTGTGTTGGATGCATTTATGTTTTGTTGAACCTTTTTGTATTTTCCTCCAGGATTTTCCAATTCTGTGTCAGACATGTTTGGGGGAAAATCCATACATCCGCATGGTGAGTTGTTTATCTTTGCAGTTTATGTTTACACTTGTTATTTGAAATTCTAACTTTTGCTGCAGAATTCTCAATTTTATACTCATGTTTCATTAACAGAGCAAAGAGAAGTATGGGAAAGAATGCAAGGTAATATAATTCGTTATTCCAGTTCAGTCCTCTTATGCAATATGGAAGCACATTATTCAGTGAATAAAATGTTCTGCATGTCTAGAAATATTGCATTGGGCCCTGCCACTATGTTCAATGGCCATGTTTAACCCCCTAGAGTCTATTTCCACAGCCCCAAGGAAATCTACTTAGCATAATAATAAAAAATCCACATCAGAATCCGTCAGTTTAAGATAGAGAGATGTTTTTTTTTGCATTGGATGCGTTTCAATCAACCGCATCCGCCGATGTCGCACTGCCACATCTGCGGTGAAAGATGGCAGAGCTAGAGCAGTGGTTGTCAGACCATGAGACAGAATTATTATGTAGAAGAACTGAAACTCAGTTCTGGTGACTTTTTAAAAGGACATGCTGGGATCCCTGTCTTTTTAACAAAGGTCATTAAAACTGTGCATTGACTTCGTGTATGAATGCATGTTTCCCTCCCTATGGCAATCGTAACTTACTTGCATCTCGAGAGGAATATGTATCTCGCATTGAACATACAACAACAAGCAGACTAGGTAATAAGAAACTATTCTACTATGGAGTTGTCCGATTTTTCTATTCATTACTTATTTTATTTTCAGAGAAAGTACATGTGGACTGTTCTAGCATCTTCAAAGTGCACCGTGGCAGAAATATTTTGTCATGTTCCATATTTTTTGGGCGTGTCCGCAATGATTTTGCCGTGGCGCAGCGCCACAGCTAAATGACTGCAGCAGAAACACTGAACTCTGTGCTCGCCACTTCTCCTCCTCTCAGATCTGTGCACGTCCCTTCACTGTGTTCCGCTGGTGTCCAGGAACGAGGATGCGCTTCAAGAAGACAGAGGTGTGTCAGACCTGCAGCAAGATGAAGAACGTCTGTCAGACCTGTCTGCTTGACCTGGAGTACGGTATGTCATACAATTCATAGATGCCTTACCTGTACCACCTTACTCAGTGTTTTCCACAAGTACATAGAATAGAGTAGCCAGCCCAATAGAAAAGGTAGCCAGCCAAGCTCTATTTTGGTGGCCTCTGGTACATTCTAATGCCTTAATTCCATCTGAAATACACTGTGAAATTATTGAGTACTTTATCAAGTTTACCTCCCAGATTGGAAAAATGTATTGTGCAGAAAGACATGACTTTACAATTTGTAGTTAATGTTTAGTTGAGAAGGTTTTTGGGAAAGGCTTTCCATCTACCAGAAGACTGTTTTCATTAGCATCATCGCTAACGGCTACACAAAGTGGTAGACGCGCACACCACACAGACGGGGGCATTCTCGTTGCCTCTTCAGAAAGTTGCAGGAAATACCAATCACTGATGCATTCTGTTCATGTCTTATGATAAACTTGGGCATATTAATTAATTTTCAATACATTTAGTTGATTCCCTACCAAGGTCAATACATTTTTGAATATTGTTGATTTCCGTTTTAATGCCTGGATTCCGTGAGTGCCTTAATTATCATATTTGGACCAGAATGAAGTTCTCCACTACCTGTTGTTCCTGCAGTGATGATTCACCATCTTCATCGAATGTTTCATAATTTATCTGCAGATAATCACCAAAAAGGCATACCAGTAGCCTATGCAAATTAAAGAGCCAAATGAATGGCTCTCTCACCGATGCGATTCAGTAGTTTACACTGACTGACGAGACGAGTCACTCATTTTAGAGTCAGTGCCTAGCAAGCCCTGACATCCTAGGAAGGGAAACCTAGACGCGTAGACAAGATGGTGTATTGAATAGAAAGCGGTACAAAACACCTCAAGATAAAAACATAATATTCAAAGTTAGACTAAATATTAGCATTTCATATATTCGCAGTTAATATAATTCAATCTGGATAATAACACAAAACAGATCATAAGTCTAGAGAAATATATCGACAAATACAACAACACGCAACACCCAAACATGACTGAAGACAAGCGTGGAGAGCCGATCCCCAAAAGGAAACGCGACTCATCGACTGATACAGATGATATATGCTTTTCACCACTGGGTATGGTAAGTGTGGAAAGCGACCTGTTGAAGTCGATAAATGACAAATTGGGCATACTAGAATTGGTCAGTAAAGACGTAAAAGAGTTGAAAGCGAGTCTTCAAATGAGTGACGAAAGAGCTTTGGTAATGGAGAAAGAAACCAAATAATTAAAAGTGACAGTCTCTAAAATGGAAACGGACGTTAGGGAACTAAAAAAGGAGAACAACCTTCTGAGAGAAGCCTTACTAGACATCCAAACTAGATCGATGAGGGAAAATCTAGTACTTACGGGTATTCAGGAAAAGGAGGGAGAAATAACAGAGAATATTATGAAGGACTTCCTGCATACAGCGCTACAAATCCCACTCGAGGCTGTCGATAAAATCCAACTCGAACGTGTACACCGTTTCGGAAAAAGAGGACAGAAATATGAGCGCCCAATCGTTGCCAAATTTGCTTTTCTTAAGGATAAAGCTATGGTGAAAAGCCTAGGAAAAAGACTTGCTGGCACGAAAATAGGCATGAATGATCAGTTCCCGAGGGAGATTGTAGAAAGGCGCAAAGTTCTGTATCCAATCTTCAAGGAAAACAGATTAAAAGGGAAACGTGTTGCACTCATGGTGGATAAACTATATATTGACAACCAAATGTTCAGAGACACAAAGACTACTCCATGGCTATTCTAAAAGTTGTAATAGAGGAGTCGAATATTGGAGCACCTGATACTAGCAATGATAGGGATTGTAATATTAAATAACATTTATAGTAAGTATATTTTTTTATAAAAGGATAAAACGACATAACAAGCAGAATAATACATCTTTAAATACAAATAATTAGAACATGGCTTTTTTGGCGGGAGGTTGTTGTTTTGGCGGATGGTTGTTGTGGTTGGTTCTGTGTGCTCTCTGGCGTCCTTTCCCCCTTGCGGCAGATGTGGATGCGGGTGCGTTTGCACGCTCGGCCCATTTCTTCCGCAGTCAACCATGTGGTGTGCATTTTTGTGTTTGAAAAGGTGCGGCGTTAAGTGAGTGAGAGGGGAAATGGTTGCATATCCCAGAGCCGACCGGGGGTCTATGAGCAGGGGTAGTGAGAGAGAGCTTTCAATTTTGTGTAGATGAGGGATATACATTTTTAAATATAGTATACATCTAATCTAATTTTTCATTGTCCTATCATGATGGAAAGATCCCTAACCCTATAACCTGGGGTTCCGGTGGGGTACGCCCACCCAGACAGTGGCAGTGCTGGCAACACTGGCTGCAGTAACCCATGGGGAGGGGGTCACACTCTGACAATCAGAGAGGGGGTTTATCATTGTGGCCCAGAATAATCAAAGGTCTGACCGCACGGAGATGCTTGGGAAAATGGTTACAACAGGGGATCAGAGTGTTTGTGTCTCAGGTGAAGAGGGTGGATCTGATCTCCATCACCTAGGACTTGACATAGATTAAGTAGATTAATCAAATCTCACATTATCAATTTCTGCTCAATCTGCATGCTTTCTCAATCAGCTTTAACTGTATGTGCACTCGTAAATCAAGTTATTTCTCGAGTTGGGCTCTGGGATATAACAGCCGTTGAGTATCTGATTTTATGGTGGATTGTGGAGGAGGGGGGTTGAGTGTGTTGGAGTATGTGAGTATGTGCGTGTGTGCTTGTCTGGCATCTGTTGTGGGGGGGTGGGGATGTTGTGGGGGAGGGCGGGGTATGGGATGGACCACGGGAATTATTTGCTAGGATAATAATTGCTTGTCAATTAATTAAATGTAAAACAATGGCAATCTGGGTTATATGTTAGAATCCTACGCGTGAACTGCCGACATTATTACGCATATTAATTGATAATGATGGAAAATAGGATATGCATAATTTTGTATATATATAGAGAGAGGTGAAAGCATTGGAAATGCTTTTGGCGGTTAATCTGCTTCTGTTTTGTGGGTGGCACTGTGTGCTGTTTTCGAATGGATGGGTCCTGGCCTCTCGGGGCCTTAGGGATCCGGAGGGATGTGGGTGGGATGCTGATCACTGGGATGACGGCTCAACTTGGGATGGGGAGGGGCTTTAGCGGGGGAATTAGTGGAGAACAATTGAAGGGTTACTCCGTAGCAATGCAAATATCACGGTACAGCTATATGGACACTCAATCATTACGGTATTTTGTTATTGGTAAATTTACAAACATATATAATGATAAATAGATTTAACTTGTATCTCATTATGGTGTATGGTGAAATAAGTATAGCCAGTTATAATTGTAATGGCTTAGCTGATAATAACAAAAGAAGAACAATATTTACATGGCTCAAATAGAAGGAATATAATATCTATTGTATACAGGAAACTCATTCAACAATTCGAGATGAAGTAGCGTGAAAAAAAGAATGGGGGGGGGGGAATATACTTCTCCCATGGGCAAAGAAATTCAAAAGGGGTGATGATATTAATTAATAGTAATTTCGATCCGAATGTGCAAATTGTCAAAATAGATACGCAAGGTACATGGATTATTTTAAATATGTTATTGGACCATAAACAGATATGGCTCATTAACCTTTACGGACCAAATAATGATGATCCACAATTCTTTGACAATATATATATATATATATATATATAATACATTATCAAGCCTGCAAGCAATTCAAGACAATATTGTTATGGTGGGGGATTATAATACTGTTTTAAATAGCTCAATGGACCGTAAAGGAAATCACACCACAAACAATCACCCACATGCTCTTAAGGAAATTGTGAATGTCATGGATACATTAGAATTAGTAGATATATGGAGGCTTAAATATACTGATCTAGTTAGATATAAATGGTGGAGACTGAATCAAGCTAGTCGTCTTGACTTCTTTCTTATCTCATTCTCGTTGGCACCAAAAGTAAAAAAGTGTTGATAGGGGACAGAATGCGGTCGGACCATCATATAATAGGCATATACATTACTCTTACTGAATTTCCACATGGGCGAGGATATTGGAAATTTAATCAAAGCCTATTGGATGATAATTTATTTATAATTAGAACAAAGGAATTTATAACTGACTTTTTCCAACATAACATAGGTACAGCGAATCCCCTTATTGTATGGGACACCTTTAAATGTGCCTTTAGAGGCCATGCAATTCAGTACTCATCTCGAAAACAAAATCAATTTAGGTCAAAAGAGTTTATACTAAGAAAGGAAATAGAAAGTCTAACAGAACAGATAGATGGCAATAAAAACTGTAACATAGAGGCTCAGAATAAATTAGAGGAAAAACAAAAAGAAATGGAGAAAGTTATTCAAGAAAGATCAAGTGTAATATATTATTAAAATAAAGCAAACTGGATGGAATATGGGGGAAAATGCACAAAATTCTTTTTTAATCTTCAACATAGGAATGCTACCAAAAAGAACTTAATGAAACTGGTTACAATTGACGGAGTCACCCATAATTCACCAAATGATATTTTGAAGGAAGAAACAAAGTACTTTAAGCATATGTTTTCTTTTCAGTCGCCTCCATCTCCTCTAACTGAAGCTAATTGTAGAGATTTTTTTTCTATTGATAATGTCAAATTAACAGCCATACAGAAAGACTCATGTGAAGGTGGAATTACAGAGGAGGAACTTCTGGATGCAATTAAAGACTTTAAGTCCGGGAAAACTCCAGGGTTGGATGGCATACCAGTCGAGGTATACCAAACCTTTTTTGATATACTAAGAGGACCGTTATTAGCATGTTTTAACAACTCCTATGTAAATGGTAGATTATCTGACACTCAAGAAGGTCTGATCTCATTATTACTGAAACAGGATACAAGTGGAAAATATAAAGATCCAGTCCATTAAAACAATTGGAGGCCCCTTACACTTCAGTGTTGTGATGCAAAATGTATAGCGCATAAAATTAAAAAGGTATTGTCGGATATTATTCATTCTAATCAGACAGGTTTTTTATATGGAAGATACATTGGAGATAATATATGGCAAGTATTGGAAACAATAGAACATTATGGAAAATCGGAGAAACCAGGCCTGCTATTCATAGCAGACTTCGAAAAGGCATTTGATGAAGTACGACTGGGGTTTATATACACTGCTCAAAAAAATAAAGGGAACACTTAAACAACACAATGTAACTCCAAGTCAATCTCACTTCTGTGAAATCAAACTGTCCACTTAGGAAGCAACACTGATTGACAATACATTTCACATGCTGTTGTGCAAATGGAGTAGACAACAGGTGGAAATTATAGGCAATTAGCAAGAAATGTGAGTTATAGCTCTGGCATTATCATTGAAAGCAAGTCTAAGACACAGTAGATATGTTCTATGTGCACTATTTCTATGTTTCCTGTTTTAAGTTTAGTTTACTTTCGGTTTTGTACACCAACTTCAAACAGCTGAAAATACAATATTTTTGATTTAAGGGAAATATTTCACAGCGTTTTAGATGGTACAATGGTTCTCTACAATTTTCCTTTTTGTTTTGTCACATAAACTGAAATTAGGCAAGCAGGAAATGGTGGAGCAATTTATGCATAGTGCATCTTTAAATTTGTCCAACATTAGCTTGCTAGCTGAGCCAGCCAGTCATACTTCATATGAAATGAAAGGGATGCAGGTAACCAGCTACCCAGTGCTGCACACACAATGTTGACAAAGATACTGATAACTAGCTAATTTAATTATTCCACCAATGCTAGCAAAGTTAGTAGCTAGCTAACATTATGAGTTTTGAAGAAGCAGCTGACCCAAAATAGCGATCACGGAGAAACATACTGATTTCTGATAACAGTCCCTCTTATTTGGGGCAGCATGTCTACGACGTCAGGGTAATTGAAACAAACTAAGCAATATGTTTGTCTGAAGAGGTAGAGCTAGCTAGCTATGTAGGTTTGGTATTTAGATAACGTTGGCTACAACAAGTTGTCTAAACAGCTGATCAGGTCATGGTGACTGACGTGGTCGCACATCATTTTTGCAGGAGGTAGCCACCGCATTTTTATTTCCTCGTAGTTGCACATTTATTAAATCAATGTCACAGCGTAATGTAATGAAACAGGCAGGGGGAGTGAGCTTGCCCGATACAGTATGTATGATACAGGATGTAATAATTTTAGCTAGCTATTCTTCCTGTTTATGCTCTGGTCTGAGTTGTTGCCTAGTTACGCTTCCGCATTTGTCAGCTACAGCAGGGTTGCCCAAACTCGGTCCTGGGCATTCCCCCCCAGAGTGCACATGTTGGTTTTTGCTCTAGCACTAAACAGCTGATTAAAATAATCAAAGCTTGATGATGAGTTGGTTATTTGAATCAGCTGTGTAGTGCTAGGTCAAAAACCAAAACGTGCACCCAGCAGGGGCCCCAGGACCGGATTTTGGAAACCCTGAGCCACAGCAACATTCTGTAACAATGTTCAAACCTACATCGGTTCTTTTTGAAATGGAAAACGAAAGCGTGCCGAATCAGAACAGAACTGAACCCATAAGTGAACCAGTATTGTTGAGTACCCAGGTGGAAAACCCCTATTAAAGTCCCCATTCAGTACCTAAGCCAAGACGTTTACACTTCTGTGATCGACAGGTTTGCCAATCCAGGTCAGAGACACTGGGCTGGACATCAAGGATGACGTCCCGAAGTCAGACGTGAACAAGGAGTACTACACACAGAACGCGGAGAGAGAGGTATGTGTGGAGAGGAGGAGGCTGCATCCCTACTATTTCTGTGTTCACAAATTCAACTTCCAGTGTTTTCCCCCTGTTAACCCCCCCATCTACCCGACTCCCTGTGTCCTCAGATAGGGAACTCTGACGGGACACGGCCAGTGGGTCTGCTGGGTAAGGCCCCCAGCTCCAGTGAGATGCTGCTGAAGCTGGCCCGCACCACGCCCTACTACAAGAGGAACCGACCCCACATCTGCTCCTTCTGGGTGAAGGGAGAGTGCAAGAGAGGAGAGGAGTGTCCTTATAGGTGAGAACGCAATCTAAAAGATAGCTCTTTATCTCTTTTATAAGGGCTACAGTTGGGCCGCGTTTGTACAGTCCAATGACTATATACGGTCGTGGTCAAACGTTTTGAGAATGACACAAGTATTGGTCTTCACAAAGTTTGCTGTTTCAGTGTTATGAGATATTTTGTCAGATGTTACTATGGTATACTGAAGTATAATTACCAGCATTCCATAAGTGTCAAAGGCTTTTATTGACAATTACATTAAGTTTATGCAAAGAGTCAATATTTGCAGTGTTGACCCTTCTTTTTCAATACCTCTGCAATCTGCCCTGGCATGCTGTCAATTAACTTCTGGGCCACATCCTGACTGATGGCAGCCCATTCTTGCATAATCAATGCTTGGAGTTTGTCAGAATTTGTGGGGTTTTGTTTGTCCACCCGCCTCTTGAGGATCGACCACAAGTTCTCAATGGGATTAAGGTCTGGGGAGTTTCCTGGCCATGGACCCAAAATGTCGATGTTTTGTTCCCCGAGCCACTTAGTTATCACTTTTGCCTTATTGCAAGGTGCTCCATCATGCTGGAAAAGGCATTGGTCGTCAAACTGTTCGTAGATGGTTGGGAGAAGTTGCTCTCGGAGGAAGTGTTGGTACCATTCTTTATTCATGGCTGTGTTCTTAGGCAAAATTGTGAGTGAGCCCACTCCCTTGGCTGAGAAGCAAACCCACACATGAATGGTCTCAGGATGCTTTACTGTTGGCATGACACAGGACTGATGGTAGCGCTCACCTTGTCTTCTCCGGACAAGGTGTTTTCCGGATGCCCCAAAACAATCGGAAAGGGGATTAATCAGAGAAAATGTCTTTACCCCAGTCCTCAGCAGTCCAATCCCTGTACCTTTTGCAGAATATCAGTCTGTCCCTGATGTTTTTCCTGGAGAGAAGTGGCTTCTTTGCTGCCCTTCTTGACACCAGGCCATCCTCCAAAAGTCTTTGCCTCACTGTGCGTGCAGATGCACTCACACCTGCCTGCTGCCATTCCTGAGCAAGCTCTGCACTGGTGGTGCCCCGATCCCGCAGCTGAATCAACTTTAGGAGACGGTCCTGGCGCTTGCTGGACTTTCTTGGGCGCCCTGACGCTTTCTTCACAACAATTGAACCTCTCTCCTTGAAGTTCTTGATGATCCGATAAATGGTTGATTTAGGTGCAATCTTACTAGCAGCAATATCCTTGCCTGTGAAGCACTTTTTGTGCAAAGCAATGATGACTGCACGTGTTTCCTTGCAGGTAACCATGGTTAACAGAGGAAGAACAATGATTTCAAGCACCACCCTCCTTTTAAAGCTTCTAGTCTGTTATTCTAACTCAATCAGCATGACAGAGTGATCTCCAGCCTTGTCCTCGTCAACACTCCCACCTGTGTTAACGAGAGAATCACGGACATGATGTCAGCAGTCCTTTTGTGACAGGGCTGAAATGCAGTGGAAATGTTTTTTGGGGATTAAATTCATTTTCATGGCAAAGAGGGACTTTGCAATTAATCTGATCACTCTTCATGACATTCTGGAGTATATGCAAATTGCCGTCATCTAAACTGAGGCAGCAGACTTTGTGAAAAATAGTATTTGTGTCATTCTCAAAACTTTTGACCACGACTGTAGATACAGCCCCTCCTGTCTGTTGATGTGTAATGATATTTCACTTGGTGGTGCTGTTGAGCAAGAAATCAACCTACATTGACTGGGGACAACTATTCCTTCTCATGCACACTCTCTCTCCACACCATCAGGCACGAGAAGCCCACAGACCCAGACGATCCCCTGGCAGACCAGAACATTAAGGACCGTTACTATGGTATCAATGACCCTGTGGCTGACAAGCTGCTGAAACGGGCCTCCACCATGCCCAGACTGGACACGCCTGAGGACAAGACCATCACCACACTCTATGTAGGGGGGATGGGAGATACCATCTCCGATGCAGAGCTGAGGTAGGGGTCTGATATAGTGTCAGTTGAATTGAATTGTTGTTGTTTTTTGCTTCTCCAAAATATCATACCAGGATAGCGAATTATTTTTGTCAGTTTGAACTATCTGTGACACATAATTGGGAATTCGTACCCTAAATCGTTGTCTGTCTGTTTCTACAGGAATCACTTCTATCAGTTTGGGGAGATCCGGACCACCACCATCGTCCAGAGGCAGCAGTGTGCCTTCATCCAGTTTGCCACACGGCAGGCGGCTGAGCTTGCTGCAGAGAAGTCCTTCAACAAGCTCATCATCAACGGACGCAGGCTCACCGTCAAGTGGGGCAGGTAAGAGGTCAAAGCTAACCAGTTATGAGGAAAGGAGGAGAATGTATTGTAAGTCCTTCCTTTCTAGTCAGATGGTGACAACCTTGTAGAAATGTCAGGGCAAAAATATTTGGTAGACTTTATATTTGGGCTCCATGTAACAGTGCACCCTATTCACTGTGTACCTTAATGTGTTGTGACTGTCCAGGTCCCAGGCAGCCAGAGGGAAGGAGGCCATCAAGGATGGGGTCAGTGAGATGGGAACCAGATTAGACCCTGTACCAGGACTGCCTGGAGGTGAGTCTGTCTGATGGAGGCTTTGAAAGACTGTGTTTGTGAGCCTGACTGTCTTCTTTCTCCACCAGCTCTCCCCCCACCCCCTGCTCTGGAAGAGGACGCTCCTATTAACTACTTCAATCTGGACCCTGGTACATCTCCTAATGTCATGAACATCTCCCTGCCCCCGCCGCCTGGCATCAACCCACCACCTCCAGGTACCAGTCTTACCTTTGTCCCATGGAAAAATGCTGGCCATACTTATAGTATGTCGCTGAGCTAACGCTCACACGTGTGTGCCTCATTCATTTATGTTGTGTGTTTTTCTTACCTTCAGGTTTTGGAGCTCCTATGTTCCACATGGGTTCGATGGGTCCCCCTCCTCCCATGGGCATGAGACCCCCAGGACACATCCACTACCCGTCCCAGGACCCCCAGCGCATGGGTGCCCACGCTGCCCGTCATGGCGACTAGTTGCCATGGCGATACTTCGCTATGCCAAAAATCTGTGGTCGAGAGAATTGCTCTGGGCAGACGTTTTCCTTAGGCACAGGTCTAGGATCAGCTTACCCTCCCACAATCCTCACCATAGTAATTAGGGGGGGAATGCAAAACTGACCTTGCATCAGGGGCAACGTCATCTTACTTTTTGAGTTTCACCAGGGTGTTAGAAAATGGCTGCCTCTTTCTCAGTTTAAGGATCTCTCAGCAGTGGATCTGAGTTAACGGTAAATGACTAAAGATGTGAAATCTGGGAATTTAGTATCATAAGAGGATTCTTATGAGTTTTAAGGGCTTCTGTGTTTTGTGTTTGGTGGTGCATAATATAATCTGTAGACGCACCTGTCATGGATCAGTGTATTCGAGATTTACAACGTCATAATGGAGGAATTGTTTAAATGTACAAAGCATCCTGCAGAGCAGCTTCTTGAAAGGACAATTTTTAGACCTGTTGATTTTCATTCATATTATGGATTTGTTTTTTGATACAATGTTCATTTTCCACAAAATGATTCGGTTTATTCTTGTAATGTTTTGTCCACTTCTGCCATTAAAACAAGTACTCTCATTTACATTTAAAGCAATCAATATCTCACTATCAATCCTTTATGAACAGAGGGGAAGTCAGACGGAGGGAGGGAAGTGTGATGTTAGGAGAGAGGGAAGGGAGCCAAAGGAAAGGTCATGTAGTGATGGGAGAAATGAGAGAAATGGGGGGGGGGGGGGGGGGGGTTAAGGAAGAGGGCGTTTTGTTAAAGAGGCGGAAAGAAGAGTGACAAATCACCTCTCCCCTCAACTGGCCTTCGTTGGCCTGGGCTCCGCTCTCATAATGAACTGTTGATTGATTCAGAAGTCCTCAGTTGGCCTCCACACAGGCCTATCCACAGAGCTCTCATCAGGAAACAATCTTATCATTCAGTCTTTTCCCTATGGCACTGACTGAATAACAGAGGGATCAAGGTAGAAGTCGCCCCTAACCACAGATCTGCCCTTATCCTAATATAACCATTAAATAGATTAAAGCATCTTAATGTAAAAATAGTTTGGGGCAACTTCTACCTACTCCAGAGGGGGTCATCTTTGAATCGAGAGGGACGAGGAAGGGTAATAAGAGCAAATCAATGCTTCAGTCTTTCAGGCTGTGATTTCACAAAGGTCACAGGAAGTTTGAAGGTCATAGGTGAGTGGAGGTCCTCTCACAGGTCGGTGGATTCAGGGGAGTAGTCGTGACCCCATCCCCGTGGTGCTCTGTTGAAGTTGGGCCGTTTACACATGCGGTCCAGGGTCGTACCAGGGAGGCGCTGGGAGTCCAACAGCTCCAACCCCATCACTGGGATCACCCTCTTGCTCTTCTGCTGTGGGCCTCCGAATGGCATGGCCACTCTGAGGGAGAGGGATGCATGTGTTAGAAGTGTGTATTTGAGGAAGAGAATGACTCAGTATATTCAACCTTACATAACACCAAAGACATTCTCTGGGTATCAAATCTTTCTCACTCAACAGGTGGGTAGAAAGAAGAAGCTTTTAGATGTTATGTGATACCCAGTCATCCACACAGAGCTCTCCACTAATGACCCTGCCTGGCCTGTTTTAACAACCTTTTAGGTCAGAAATAATCAACATCCGTTGGGAATTCAGGAAGAAACCTTAAGGAATCATCCGACTACAGATGGAGCTTCTTTCCAGTTGCCCCCCACAGTTTGATTGCCTCACTTTAAACTTAGACTTAATTAACCCCACATACCTTGTTAATTAAAGTAGTAAACCAATGCATCCATGTGTGCGTCAGTTACTGAATGATTGGCACCAAAATGACTGACAGTGGACTAATAAAGTTGTGTGGAGAGGAGAGTCGCTCAGACCAAGTTTAGCCTTTGTTCTGGCAGTTGCTTCATCGGTGTGACGCAACGTTGCGTGTGCCAGGTTAAGATGAGCCCCTTCGTGCGCCATCAGTCTTTAAGGGGCTGAAAGGCACGCATAACCCCCCGGAGGATCATTTTTCTAGAGCCTGTGTTAAAATAGCCGCCCGCCTGACGGCCACAGTCCAAGGAGATGTGAGCCAGAGGTGGGATTGCTTTTCAAACGGAGTGGAAACATGCACGGTGCCGTGGGAAGCTAATTTAAGAGATTATTGTGATCTTAATTTGATAGCATGCTTCGGTCATCTGCGGCTCTATTTGATGATGGGTGAGATGAGCGATCGCTAAATGTGCTTTAAGCCTCAGCCTGAGCCGTGTTCGCTTACTTTGATGAGTGGGGTCTTAAATTTGTTGTCTTTCCAAAACATCATGCATAATATGGTCCTGCCTTTGTACTGTGAAGTCCTCAGAGGTCTTCTAGTTAGAGGGCCTCTTTGTTTGTTACCTGGCTTCACCTGTCAGGATTCAATGTGATGTCAGTTCCTCACCTGTTGAAGCACCTGTAGTTGGCAGGCAGTAGTGTGGCCCTCTGTGGGGGCTGGGGGAGCTGGGCGCTGAGGGAGGACAGGAGGTTGTCACTGTCACCCAGGGCTTCCCTCCAGGGGGAACAGTAGGACCTGGTTGTCAGGTTGAACTTCTCACAGGGGATCTCCTTCAGGGGTCCCCCGTAGCCTGGGGTCAAAGGTCAGTTAAGTCCCAGACTCAGACAGTCCCTGAAAGCTTTTAGTGCTTACACATTTAGAGCAGATTGTTTGATCTGATGTCAGTCCTGGCTACAATAGAAAGTGTTAAACTTGGTGTGAATCCAGCACAATAAACAAGGCTTAGCTGGCTGTCACTCAGACTCAAAAACGAACCTACTGCCAGGTCAGGACACTGATACACTCAACACACTAGCATCCAGTGTGTCATCAGCTGTTCTCAAGCACAGCCTTAAAAACAAACTGTCATTCAGTAGTGTTTTGTTTCACCTTATCCTTCCAAAATGTAACGTTACCAAAATGGGTGGTAAAGCCCCCTTTGTCATAACAGCATACTCAAATGGATAGTTCATCCCAAAATCAAAGTTTGTCATTTCCATAGCTCAAAAGTAATCTGAAGTAAAGCTGAGCCAATATTCCAACCTCTGAATTTAGGGGTGACCTATCCCTTTAAACCATGTGTGCTAATCCCTCCTGTGTTACCAGCTACCTGGGGCGATGACGTTAGGGCTGCCCTTCTTGGCCACAGTCTTCTGTAGGGTGGTGATCAGGCTGTGTTTGCCAGGCATCAGGTATGCCTGGTTCTCTTTACCCCCCTGGGGCTCCTCTATAGTCTGGGGGGGCATGGGCTCTGGAAGGCCCTGGGCAGGGACACAATAACATTCTGGATTAGCTCCATGCAAACTCAGTTGTGTGCATTATCATGGGGAAATAACCACCATGGAATAACAACCAATTTTGTGGACAGTTACACTGCCTCCATCTCTCCATCCTACATGCCAATGATATCCACTCATTACAGTAGATTTCGCCTAGAATTTCCATGTTACCACCTGACAGATGCTATCTAGAACCTCAAAGGGTTCTTCGGCTGTCCCCATAGGATAACCCTTTGAAGAACCCTTTTGGGTTCCAGGTAGAACCCTTTTGCGTTCCATGTAGAACCCCTTCCACAAAAAAGTTCTACCTGGAACCAAAAAGAGTTCTACCTGGAACCAAAAATTGTTATTTTATTGGGACAGCCGAATAGCCCCTTTGGAACCTTTTTTTCTAAAGTGTGGCCCTCTTATTTCTACCGATAACCTTGGCCAAGTTCTCGTGCTCCAGTGGAACAGAGTACAGCAAAGCAGAAAGTGAGAGGGGACGGCCAAGGTTTCATTGCCTCATCAAACAGCTCTGCCATAAATCCAACAGGCTAACAAGCTGCTTGCGCAATACTGTACATCAGGATGACAAGTCCGTGGGTCTAACAGTGTGGATAGCTCAGTGGATATGTCTGTATACGTACAGTATTGCCTTATTGTGTTTCCATAGAAATAGAATGTCTTTGAACATGAATTGAGCATTCTGTTCTGCATTGAAATGTCATGGCATCTGTAGCGGAGAGAGCCGGGGTGTGTGTGTTTGAAATGTGAAAATGTGTGTGTGTGAGAATGTCTGTGTGTGTGGTGTGCGTGCGTTCGTGCATACATGCGTGTGTGTTCTTACATTGCTGTAATGGTCATGACTTGGTTCTCCAGTGTGAATCTCTCCACCCGTCTCAGTCTCTCCTGGAACATGCGGGAGCCGCGGTTTGACGGAAGGTTCAATTCCTCCATCATCACATCCTTGGGAACACTGATTTTCTTCCCCAAGTTCAGACCTCCTGGCACACACAAACAAAAGCACAGAATAAATAGAAAGTATTATATTTGTCTTTCACTAGGTCTCAAAGTGCTTTCCATTATATGGGGGTAAGTCACTCCATTGTCAAAGTAGAAGAATCATTGGGCGGCGCACAGGGACCAGCGTCGTCCAGGGGTAGGGGAGGAAGGGCCGGCAGGGATGTAGCCTCAGTTGATAGAGCATGGCTGCAACGCCAGGGTTGTGGTTCGATTCCACGGGGGTCCAGTATAAAACAAATATGTATTCACTAACTGTAAGTCGCTCTGGGTAAGAGCGTCTGCTAAATGACTAAAATGTAAATGTAAATGTAATTAAACAATTTTAAAAACTAAGACAAGTAAGCAGGGAAAGACATGAACTGCAGACACAAACAGACAGATACTTACAGAGACCAAGACAGTGACAGTGACAGGGACTCAGATCTGAGGATAGAATCTGATTACTATATCTAAGTCTTTGACTTGCACAGTAGCATCTATATCTGCTGGCCTGTGTCAGTCAGAGAAACCCAGTGAATGATGAAACACAAAGAGAGAACCCGGGTTCCCCCAGCAACAGGGGTTGCCTCATGACTCATGCCCCCTGAAGTGTTCTTTTTCAGTATGTAGGAGATTAAGGTCTCTGGCTCCTCTCAGCTCCCAACTATTTACTGAGGATCAACTGACCTGACCCATAACCCATAAACTCAACTATCATATCATCAGTAATCCACAAAGCCTAGTGTTGAGTTTACTATGTGGCCCCATGCATTGCCACCAGATTGTAGCATTACACTATAATTTTGGAATAGCCCTGAGAGATGCAGGCTGAGGGTTTGTAATGTTTGTTGAGGTGCAGTGTTGCATGGGTAACTGGGTGTATAAATATGATGTTTGGAAGAAGTAGCTCTTATAGGAACTCTGTCTCTCTCTCTCTGTCTCTCTCTCTGTCTCTCTCTCTCTCGCTCGCTCACTCCCTCTCAATTCAATTCAATTCAATTTAAGGGCTTTATTGGCATGGGAAACATATGTTAACATTGCCAAAGCAAGTGAAGTAGATAATAAACAAAAGTGAAATAAACAATAAATATTAACAGTAAACATTACTCTCTCTCTCTCTCTCTCTCTCTCTCTCTCTCTCTCTCGCTCTCTCTCTCTCTCAGTAATGGTTTATGTGAATTCCTGCCTTATGCCAGTTGCATTGTCGACAGGACTTGCCTTTTGACGTGCCTGTTTAAAACGCACCAACTGGGAGGTCACATTATGCTGAGTCAGATGGGCCTGATGCCAGCACCTGCTGCTGGCTGAGACCATCGGAAAACAAACAAACAGAACCACACGGAATGCCTCCTGAGTACTGTATTGTTCTGCCCGCTGAGAATTCTAACTCTCCTGGGTTTAGGGCTTTCCCCCCCACGCACTCTTAGCTGAGGAGAATGCTTTGATGATTGGCTGTATTACTGATGAAGAGCTGAGCTGTGATGACAGAGCCGTTTCTGGCCTATATTATCCATATACTTATAGGTATGAGTAAGTGAGTAATAACATCTTAACTTGTTAACATAAGTAAGTAACATATGTAAGTGTGTGTCTAACACCCCTGTGTAAGACACATACACACACTTGCACGCACACGCACACGCACACGCAAGCACACACTCATTGTTCGGTTGAATAGCATTATGTGTGTGCTTGTGTGTGTGTGTTTCTACAGGATGGAGAGTCTGAGTGCCATGTTTAAAACCGGTCTCTATATCAACGACCTGAGTATGCATGACTCCAGTAGAGACCTGGTACTGGCAGGAACCCAGCAGTCAGAGGAACTCAAGAGAGCTCTCATACAGGTATGTATCATATGATACTGTTTGTCTGTAGTTACTGATTTGTGCTGAAGCGTCCCTAATAGCACCCTATTACCTCTGTTGTGCACTACCTTTAACCTTTAATCCATTAACATATATCTACGTTTGTGAGTACTAATGTGTTGCTATGTGTGATTAATAACTGTACTCTGTAGCCTATGCCTGTGAGTCTGAACTGTTTGCTACTGCTGTCTAAGTCAAACCTAATGTCCCCGCTCTGGAGTTTAGTCAAGTTTATTCAATTCCATCTCTAGGCTGACAGATTTGAACTCTGCTGTTCTCAGAGCTGATTTCCCCCTCGGGAGATCAATAAAGTATATTCAGTTGAATGTAACCATAGAATTAAATGGAATAGTAATTGAATATACAGTTGAAGTCGGAAGTTTACATACACTTAGGTTGGAGTCATTAAAACTCGTTTTTCAACCACTCCACAAAATATATTTTTAACAAACTATAGTTTTGGCAAGTCGGTTAGGACATCTAGTTTGTGAATGACACAAGTAATTTTTCCAACAATTGTTTACAGACAGTTGGACAAACTCAGTGCCTCTTTGCTTGACATCATGGGAAAATCTAAAGAAATCAGCCAAGACCTCAGAAAAATAATTGTAGACCTCCAAGTCTGGTTCATCCTTGGGAGCAATTTCCAAACGCCTGAAGGTACCACGTTAATCTGTACAAACAATAGTACGCAAGTATAAACACCATGGGACCACGCAGTCGTCATACCGCTCAGGAAGGAGACGCGTTCTGCCTCCTAGAGATGAACGTACTTTGGTGCGAAAAGTGCAAATCAATCCCAGAACAACAGCAAAGGACCATGTGAAGATGCTGGAGGAAACAGGTACAAAAGTATCTATATTCACAGTAAAACGAGTCCTATATCGACATAACCTGAAAGGCCGCTCAGCAAGGAAGAAGCCACTGCTCCAAAACCGCCATAAAAAAGCCAGACTACAGTTTGCAACTGCACATGGGGACAAAGATCGTACATTTTGGAGAAATGTCCTCTGGTCTGATGAAACGAAAATAGAACTGTTTGGCCATAATGACAATCATTATGTTTGGAGGAAAAAGGGGGTTGCTTGCAAGCCGAAGAACACCATCCCAACCGTGAAGCACGTGGGTGGCAGCTTCATGCTGCGGGGGTGCTTTGCTGCAGGAGGGACTGGTGCACTTCACAAAATAGATGGCATCATGAGGAAGGAAAATTATGTGTATATATTGAAGCAACATCTCAAGACATCAGTCAGGAAGTTAAAGCTTGGTCGCAAATGGGTCTTCCAAATGGACAATGACCCCAAGCATACTTCCAAAGTTGTGGCAAAATGGCTTAAGGACAACAAAGTCAAGGTATTTGAGTGGCCATCACAAAGCCCTGACCTCAATCATATAGAACATTTGTGGGCAGAACTGAAAAAGCGTGTGCGAGCAAGGAGGCCTACAAACTTGACTCAGTTACACCAGCTCTGTCAGGAGGAATGGGCCAAAATTCACCCAACTTATTGTGGGAAGCTTGTGGAAGGCTACCCGAAACGTTTGACCCAAGTTAAACAATTTAAAGGCAATGCTACCAAATACTAATTGAGTGTATGTAAACTTCTGACCCACTGGGAATGTGATGAAAGAAATAAAAGCTGAAATAAATCATTCTCTCTACTATTATTCTGACATTTCACATTCTTAAAATAAAGTGGTGATCCTAACTGACCTAAGACAGGGATTTGTTACTAGGATTAAATGTCAGGAATTGTGAAAAACTGAGTTTAAATGTATTTGGCTAAGGTGTATGTAAACTTCCAACTTCAACTGTATCTCTATGGTCTTACCTCCCCTGGCCTCTGTACACAGAGCCTTGGCCTGCTGCATCCTCTGCTTGGACAGGTTATCATACACTGATTGCATCATCTTCCTCTGGTGGGGGACGGATGAGGTGAATGGATGAAGAGCGGTCACGTTAGGCTCTGGTTTGGAAATACACGCTCAAATACACCTTTCAGATCTTTTACAAGATGGCTACAGTAGTTGGCTACAGTGTGTCACTTAAACAGCACCCCACCAAAAACATGCACATAGATATGAATTAATCATAGTATCATTTTAACAGTTCTACACAAATAATCTGTTGTGTATGTAAACATGAATATAACTCATGAATGTGTTGTTTGAGAGTAATATATTCTCTCGATCTTATTTAGAAAGTCCCTTAGAGATGAGCTTTTGTCTGTATGCTATCATTAACTCTGAACACTACAATAAGATGAGTCCTCCAGACATGTGCTGTAGCCCCATCAGCATGGCTGGCAGATGGATAACCAATAGCATGTATAAACAGAAAGTTAGATCTGTGTTTCCTCCAGTAAGACCTGTAGATTCCATCTTCACACACATCTGTTGTCATATTCACACTGCACTGTGCTGGACAATAGCCAAGTTAGAGTACGATCTTGTAGGTTTCCTAGCTCAACCCCCAGATCCTGCCTGTTATTCAGTCTTACCTGTCTCTCTTGTCTCTCCTCTCACAGGTTCAGCAGTAGAGGTGACGTGAGGTGAAATGAGGGGATATGAGGTGAGTATATCGCTGTGTGAGTTATCCTCTCTGAATCTGGGATGCCACCCTATCCCACTCTGATGCTTCTCATCTGCAAGGGAACAGTTTGTATACCAGTGATCCCTGGATGCTCTGGGTGCTTAGCTCACAGGGTTATTTTAGCAGAGACGAGGAGTGAGAGCGCTAGGGGGTGAGGGGGCAAGGGGGTAAATTGAGAGGGCTGGTTGGGAGGGGGGTGTAGGGGTGTAAGGATTTACATCCCTGCCCTCCTGTGTCCCTGATAATAAAAATCTGATCCCCTCTGTGTGTGTGTGTTCTGACAGAACAGCTGCTGACTCCGTCCAGACAGTGACACTGAGCCCTCAGACGCAGAGGCCAAGCATTTAGCTGCTCCTTGGCATGATGAACGGATAGACACACACACACACACACACACACACACACACAGACACACACACACACACACACACACACACAGGATGACATCATCAGGATGCCCACCTGTGTTTCACAGAATGCGTGAAGTGCTAGTCAAAGAGTTGAGGTCATTGGGGTGGAGAGGGCGTAGGCGGGTTCAAGGGTTAGGGGTCAGCGCCTGGCAGAGTTTTATTTTTACATCTGTGAGATATGCCCGGACACATTCTCTGTGTTGCTCTTGCTTTCCGGGGCCCCACTTTACATTTACAGAAGACCATTGAGGCATTGTAGAGCTTGTGCTTTCATACTGATTTACTTTGTAGTGTTGTTCCATTCACTGTAGTGAGCAATAATTGCTCAGGAATCAATTTCATTTTTCTTGTCTAGCTGATCACCACCATTGAGGTAACCGTGAAATGCTTGCTTATTGTTTTATAAAACAAAATCAAAACGTTTGACTCATTATTTTATCCCATTTTCTTTTTTAAAGCCATAAACTATGTAATCCAAAGGCTGTTTAGAGACTGATCAATATCAGAGTTTTTATCTGATAAGGATGTTTTCTCATCACAGCTGAGATTGCGTATCGATTTTCTCATCATTCAAAAGGCTCTATAGTCCCTTCTCTGTCCTGTCAGAAAACAGCCCAGTCATCCTGACTCATAGAGGCCAGACAGTCTGTCCTAATAAATCATACAAAATCTAGAGTTTATGTAACAATGTTAAACAATGTATTCTGAACAAAAATATGAACACAACATGTAAAGTGTTGGTCCCATGTTTCATGAGCTGAAATAAAAGATCCCAGAAACTTTCCATTCACACAAAAGCTTATTTCTCTCAAATTTTGTGCACAAATTTGTTTAGATCCCTGTTAGTTAGCATTTATCCTTTGCCAAGATAATCCATCCATATGACAGATGTGGCATATCAAGAAGCTGATTAAACAGCATGATCATTACACACAGGTGCACCTTGTGCTGGGGACAATAAAAGGCCACTCTAAAATGTGCAGTTTTGTCACACAACACAATGCCACAAATGTCCCAAGTTTTGAGGGAGCGTGCAAATTGCATGCTGACTGCAGGAATGTCCACCAGAGCTGTTGCCAGATAATTTAATGTTCATTTCTCCACCATAAGCCGCCTCCAACGTCATTTTAAAGAATTTGCCAGTATGTCCAACCGGCCTCACAACCGCAGACCACGTGTAACGACGCCAGCCCTGGACCTCCACATCCTGCTTCTTCACCTGCGGGATCATCTGAGACCAGCCACCCGGACAACTGATGAAACTGTGGGTTTCAACCGAAGAATTTCTGCACAAACTGTCAGAAACCATCTCAGGGAAGCTCACCAAAGTCCTCGTTGTCCTCACCAGGGTCTTGACCTGACTGCAGTTCGGCATCGTAATCGACTTCAGTGGGCAAATGCTCACGTTCAATGGCCACTGGCACGCTGGAGAAGTGTGCTCTTCACGGATGAATCCCAGTTTCAACTGTACCGGGCAGATGTCAACGTGTGGGCAGGTGGTTTGCTGATGTCAATGTTGTGAACAGAGTGCCCCATGGTGGCTGTGGGGTTATGGAAGGGGCAGGCATAAGCTACGGACAACGAACACATTTGCATTTTATCGATGGCAATTTGAATGCACAGAGATACCGTGATGAGATCCTGAGGCCCATTGTCGACCATTCATCCACTACCATCACCTCATGTTTTATCATGATAATGCACGGCCCCAGGATTTGTGCACAATTCCTGGAAGTTGTAAATGTCCCAGTTCTTCCATGGCCTGCATACACACCAGACATGTCACCCATTGAGCATGTTTGGGTTGCTCTGTGTTCGACGTGTACGACACCATGTTCGACAACTTCGCACAGCCATTGAAGAGGAGTGGGGCAACATTCTACAGGCCACAATCAACAGCCTGATTCACTCTATACAAAGGAAATGTGTTCACGCCCTTACCTTTTTTAAAAGGTATCTGTGACCAACAGATGCTTTTCTGTATTACCAGTCATGTGAAATCCATATATTAGGGCCTAATGAATTTATTGAAATTGAGTGATTTCCTTATATAAATGTAACTTAGTAAAATCCTTAAAATTGTTGCACGTTGCGCTTATTTTTTTGCGCAGTGTAGTTACCCTGTACCTGCTAATTTAGCACCACTGAATGTATAAAGTGACACATTTTGATGTTTTTCATCAGATAACTATCATCTTCCCTGAAAAATAGGACAGTGAGACACCATTTGGTATCCAAACTCTTTAGCACGGAACATAGAGGGGGAGGGGGAGACCCACTTGACTGGTGTCATCTGCTAGTGAGAGCTGGCCCTCTGGCCCCATATACAGTGTGTTGCTGTCATGTGGTGCAGGCTGCAGGACCACCAGGTAGTGACAGCTGACAACAGGACAATACGAGCCCATTGAAGCTAAGGGTTTGTGTAATGAAGGTTCCTTTAAAACTGATTGTCTAGAGGATCTGCAGATAAGACAGTGGCTAGAAGGAGGGAAGGAAGGAATCTAGCTGCCCTTAACACAGGTAGTCTTATAGGATCATTCGAAAGAGAATTAGACAGTGCCGTGGCTTTCTGGCAAATGCAGTAGAAAGCCATACAGAGCAGCGCCACACACACACTGTGGCTTTTACACCTTGGTAACAAGGATTCAACTAAGGATTTTAGTTTGAACAAGTCATCAGTCAAATGGACCGAACCGTATGAGGAACACAGGCTTTGAGCTCGGCTTTGGCTAACCTCCATCTCATTGGCTCTTGTGTTGCAGGTGCTTGGACCACTGAATCTCTTTTTCCCTACTGTGTTTCTGTGGGCTGAGCCTGTTCTGTTCCTAGGTCTTGGTCCCAGTACAGACTGAAGCAGGGTGAATGATGTACGGACTGCTGTGTGAGTCTCTGCATGACTTCATCAAGGAGTCGTATGGAGATGATGTGTGGAAACTGGTCAGAGAGAGGGCAGATGTCAGGCTACACTCCTTTGTCACCCACCAGGTAGATTTGGACATGTTGTTCACAAAATAAAACCGTTGTGTATTTATGTTCCAAGGGGTCCTGATATGCCAATTGATACAGTATTTAGAAATGTGTGTATGTAGTTCTGTTTCTACCTTGAGCTCTATAGATTGCCATCAGTAGAGATGTCTCTCTGCAGGTCTACAGTGAAAGTGTCTGTAGCTCTGTTTGTTGCTGTGGATGATCTCTGTCAGTATATGTGTCTCTCTGAAGGTGTACAGTGAAAGTGTCAGTAGTTCTGTCTGTGAATACCTGTGTGTGTTTGCAGGTGTACAGTGAGAGTGTCATCCCGCGTATTGCTAAGGCAGCAAGCGGAGTGACAGGAACCCCCTACAACGAGCTCATGAACTCCTGGGGGGTCTATTTCCTGGGCTTCGTAGGGAAGTACGGTTACGACAGGATCCTCAAGGTGGGACTTGCGCTTACACTGGAATTGTCATAAACATGTTATTGTGTTTTTGATTGATGGTTTGATTATTGCTTTTCAGCATTATTTATCTGTGTTGTGTCTGTGTTGAGCTCTTGTTTCTGTGTCTGCGTGTCCCAGGTGTTGGGTCGTCATGTGCGTGACTTTGTGAATGGGCTGGATAACCTCCATGAGTACCTGCGCTTCAGCTACCCCAAGGTCCAGCCCCCTACCTTCTTCTGTCAGGAGGAATCAGCTACCGGAGTCACCCTCCACTACAGGTCTGAGAGGAGAGGATGAGAGAGAGAGATAAATATATATATATATATAAATAAATATATATAATATTTATATATATAATATCTATAGTAGAGAGAGAGAGAGAGAGCGTCAGAGAGAGAGAGGAGAGAAGAGCGCAGCGATCTCGCGAGAGCTACGCGCGCAGCGCTGACGCCCTCGCGAAGCAGCAGAGGCTAGCGATAGAGAGCGAGATGGGAATAACTCCACCACCCATTCACCAAAGACACTCTCCTCCCTCCCCTCTGTGTCCTGTAGGAGTAAGCGTAAGGGCTACCTGCACTATGCCATGGGCCAGTTGAGACAGATGGGGAAACAGTTCTACGACACAGACATCCACGTGGAGGTGCTGTCTGAACAACTGGTGGGAGATTACTCACACGTCACCATGAGGTCAGAGTCAGACTACACGAACACTCCCTGCGTCCCAAATGGCACCCTATTCTCATTGTGCATTACTTTTGACCAGGGCCCATAGTGCTCTGGTCAAAAGTAGTGCAGTAAAATAGAATGCATTTGGGACTCAGCACTCTCTAAACAAATCAACCTCCATTTGTATCATGTGCATTAGACTCTGAAACGTTTGCTTAATAGCACTGAAGTCATGATAAAATGGATAATCATGGAGTGTATCTATGTACAGCTTTTCATAAAGTCTCATTGTTTACATTGTTTGGGAAGGGGGTGGGGTAACCTTATCCACCATGTAGAAGTCATGTATACAGTGCATCAGTAAGTGGTGTAAGTTAGCTAATGTGAGGTTTTCAAAATGGCCTCTCTGTGTTGCCTGCGTTTTCTGTTTTCTGCAGGCTGAACTTTGACAACTCTGCCTACCGTTACATCATGAAGGAGGACGAGGAGGAGCAGGAGATTCTGCCCATCACCAGCGACTTCTTCTTCGAAGTCTTCCCCTTCAACATCGTTTTCAGACAGGTAAACCATCAGTCTCTCCACTTCTCCTCCTCCCATGAAGACCACTCTGATATCATCTGGATATTCGTTATCATCAACATTGCCTCAGCAAAGGAAAGGAACATGTGAAGCTGTATAAGTGTGCTAAATCCACACTAAAAACGTAGCAATCCAGACATACAATTTTTCATGAATCTTCTCTGTGCTCTATGTAGGACATGGTGGTGCACAACGTGGGCTCTGGCCTGGCCACAGTCTTCCCTGACCTGGATGGGAAAAAGATAAATGATGCCTTCCTGCTGGCGCGCCCCCTGGTGGAGTTTCACCTGGAACATGGTGAGACCTCTTCTGTTCCCATACAATTCTAGTTCCTACCCCTTAACACATCACACAGATTTACTATTCACTTCTTCTTTTCAATGTCACGTACTGACATTGAACGTATTATCTGGTTTAAATCCACACAGATCATCTCCCACCCCAACAACCTGTTTGAGATCATGTCCAAGGAGCCAGTGAAGAGAGAGAGGAACCTTCATAACAGAGTCCAGAGTAAGAGAGGGACCCATTTAAAAGGGGCAACACATAACTGTGCGTGTGGGAAAAACTTGAAATGGATGTCTTTGTTCTTTTTTTTCTGATGGTACCTTCTATCCCCTCCAACTCGTAGGGTTTTCGAAGATTGACAGAGCTGTATGTTCTCTCTCCCTCAGATTCGGACTATGAGAATGCTAACCGTACAGCTGACGTAGACGTAGAGCTCATGGCCTTCCAGTCCATCATTGGCGATGACTACAAAGGTCAAGATCCTTTAGAACGGTGTTTCTCAATCCTGGTCCCAGGGATCCAAAGGGGTGCACATTTTTGTTTTTGCCCTAGCACTACACACATGATTCAAATAAAATGCCTGATGATGAGTTGATTAGTTGAATCGACTGTGTTAGTGCTAGGGCAAAAACAAAAATGTACACCCCTTTGGGTCCCCGGCACCAGGATTGAGATACACTGCTTTAGAACCCTCACACCAACACTGACCTGACCCCTGTCTGTCTGTCTGTGTGTGTGTGTGTGTGTGTGTGTGTGTGTGTGTGTGTGTGTGTGTGTGTGTGTGTGTGTGTGTGTGTGTGTGTGTGTGTGTGTGTGTGTGTGTGTGTGTGTGTGTGTGTGTGTGTGTGTGTGTGTGTGCGTGCGTGCGTGCGTGCGTGCGTGCGTGCGCATGATTGCGTGCGTGCGTGTGTGTGTGTGTTTGACGCTCTTTTTCTCCCCTCTCAGATGGCAACAGTGCTAATGCTATGGAGAGCTGGGGTGATGGCAGTCGCTGTCTGAAACTGAAAGGACAGATGAGATACATGCCTGAGTGGGAGTCCATCATCTTTCTGGGAACCCCTGTGTAAGACACACACACACACACACACACACACGCACTCATTGGTGGTTTGTCCTGTTCTGTTGAATAGCATTATGTGTGTGCTTGTGTGTGTGTGTTTCTACAGGATGGAGAGTCTGAGTGCCATGTTTAAAACCGGTCTCTATATCAACGACCTGAGTATGCATGACTCCAGTAGAGACCTGGTACTGGCAGGAACCCAGCAGTCAGAGGAACTCAAGAGAGCTCTCATACAGGTATGTATCATATGATACTGTTTGTCTGTAGTTACTGATTTGTGCTGAAGCGTCCCTAATAGCACCCTATTACCTCTGTTGTGCACTACCTTTAACCAGAGTGCACTATAAAGGGAATAGGGTGCTATTTGGGATGCAACATGTCTATGATCAGATTGACTCAGTACTGTGACACCTCTCTATCGCCGCCCTGTGGTGAGTGCAGGAACAGAAGAAGTCCAGTAAACTGGAGGAGAGTATGAAGATGCTAGACTATGAGATGAAGAAGACAGATGATCTGCTCTACAGGATGATCCCTAAACCTGTGGCCAAGAGACTACGCAAGGGAGAGCCTGCCGTCAACACCTGTGAGGTCAGGACTAACTGATAGCATGGCTAAGGGTGGGGTGGTGTGTGTACCTGTCTCACCTGTCCCACCTCTCCCTGTCTCCCTGTCCAACCTGTCCCACCTGTCTCCCTGTCTAACCTGTCCCACCTGTCTCCCTGTCCAACCTTTCCCACCTGTCTCCCTGGCCAACCTGTCCCACCTGTCTCCCTGTCTCACCTGTCTCCCTGTCCAACCTGTCTCCCCGTGTCACCTGCAGGTGTTTCCAGACGTGACCATCCTGTTCAGTGATGTGGTGGGCTTCACCCGTATCTGCAGCCACATCACGCCCATGCAGGTGGTCTCCATGCTCAACACCATGTACACACTCTTCGACACACTCAGCGAGAAGCATCGTGTCTTCAAGGTGTGTGTGTGTGTGTGAGACAACTGATCGTCTGGCGTGTGTGTGTAATACGTTAACCCAATGCTCTCCTCCTAGGTTGAGACCATAGGTGATGCGTACATGGTGGTGGCGGGGGCTCCAGAGAAGACTAAATACCACGCCCACAACATCTGCGACATGGCCCTGGACATGGTGCGCTCCATAGACCACCTCAAAGACCCCTCCAATGGCAACAACATACAGATCAGAGTGGGTGAGTGGAGACGCAATGGGAACCACTCTCATACTGAATCTCAGTGTCTGTGTGCTGTGCGTATACATATGTTGGTGAAGCAGATGTGTGTTTAGTTGGGTCAGAAACAGAAGGTTTGTGTTGCAGGGATCCACTCTGGCATGGTGGTGGCCGGGGTGGTGGGCCATAAGATGCCACGCTACGGTCTTCATGGCGACACAGTCCACACCGCATCAGCCATGGAGAGCAACGGCAAGGTAAGGAGAGTGTGAGAGTGTGAGAGAGAGAGAGAGAGCAAGAAAGTCAAAGAAAAGGAAGGGTGATGAGAGGAGAAGATAAATGAAGATACATTTCTAACAGCTTCTATTGAGCCAGGTGTTCTATGACTGATATGGCTGATCATGATATGACATATCTGACTCCTCTCTCTCTCTCTCTCTCTCTCTCTCTCTCTCTCTCCTCTCTCTCTCTCTCTCTCTCTCTCTCTCCTCTCTCTCTCTCTCTCTCTCTCTCTCTGTCCCATTCAGGAGATGCACATCCAGCTCAGCAGCGCCACCTATGAGCACCTGAAGGGAAGCCACTTCATATTCGAGAGGAGAGGCACTATCACCATCAAGGTCAGGGGTCACCAATGTCACAATGGCAACCTTACCGACCTCCGTAACTATACGGGGGTCGGTAAGGTTGGTCATCATGTCCGCAGCGAGAGACCAACTGGTCATCATGTCCGCAGCGTGAGGTCTTTTGAAATTTGAAGCCAGCATGGACTCTCAGTCTTCCCATTCAAGAATAGAAGTAATTATGACCCATATCATTACAATGATTATATTTCTATGTTATGGCCCTCTCACTTACAACACAGCTGGAGGGCTAAGTTCATAACTACTGAAATGTATGCTATTGTTTCCCAATCGATGTCATCAAAACATTCTCATTTTCGCCCTCAGAAACAGCTGTTCTGTAATCAGATGTTTGTATAACATAATTCTCCCTGCTGTTGCTCCAAGCTGTTTTTAAAGCATTCTGGGAGAATCTGAGAACGAGAGACCAACTGTTTTATTATGAGTGTGTAAACTATTTTAAACAATCAACATCACCCTATACTGGTATTCGCAAACCATAGCTTGGTGTTGGGGGTCTAAATGCCATCACTGGGTCTGTCTTTGAGTCTAAAGAAATGCTAAAGGTTTGTGAGCCAGCCAGCTGATTATCAGGAGGTAGCAGTGACTCACTTTGTCATCAAAGGCTCTCTGCCCGTCTGCTCCCTGCAACTTTAATGATCAACATCACAGCTGTCCATTAAACCCAACCCTCCTTATCACTTACTCACACAGCGTGTGTGTGTGTGTGTGTGTGTATGTGTGTGTGTCTGTATGCATGCTTATGCATCCTGTGTGTATATGAGCTGTGCCTGTATTTTTGTGATGTGTCATCCTCTTTCTTAAATGAAATCTTAACTGAAACCTCCCTCCCAGGGTAATGTAGAGATAGAGACATACTGGCTGAAGGGAAAGAGGGATAAGGATGGGAATGCCCAGGCTGCCTGTCCCCAGTTTGAGACCCAGACCATCAGCAAGGCCATCAGTAAGGCTACTATCTCAGCCCCTGAAGCCAGCGGAGACCAAGACAGACTGGTAATGTAACCTACTGTATCTCTGGTCTGGTGCTTTCTGTCAATAACTCTGCTCTAAGGAAAGAGATGCCCCCAGGGCAGAATGAGGAGATATATTGTGATTGGCTGCCTTGAGGGCACATATGAATTAATTGGATTTTAAATGGTAACAGTTTTGTTGTGAAGAAATCAAATGAAACAACACAACTCCTTGTAGCAGATAGTCAATATAATAATATTTCCACTCTCAGTCCCATATCAAAATCTTATGAAATGAGCTTTGTGCCTGGACTGCTCATGGCTTAGCTTAACTGTTACCTCAAATGCCTTGCTAAATCTTGAGAATCTTTATTTTCATATCGTCGATTTATCCCTCATCATGGTATCATGGCTCTATCCCTCTCTCCTTGAACCAGGTGTTCCCGTCGGTGGCAAGGGAGGATGAGGATGATATGAAGTCCATACGTTCCCACCGTATCAAGATGGATATTTCGGGCCATCACTCCCTGGTGGAGTCTCTGGAGGAATGTCGTGCTGAGGAAATGTCTGTCAGCAAGGTGAGAAGGGTGAGACACACTGCTGGATTGTTATCTATGGAGTTCACTTAGACTGAAGGATAGAGTTCAGATTTTACTCTGACACATTTCGTCTCTCTCTCTCTCTGCTTTTTTCACCTATTCCTCTCTTTTTGCCCTCTCGCCTCTCACTCCCCTCTTTCCTTCTGTCCTCCTTTCTCTTTCTCCCTCTCTCTTTCTCCCTCTCCCCCCTCTCTCCCAGTCTCACTATAAGGATGCCCTCCACCATAACAACGGTCTACAGGACAGTCACATTGAGCTGGACTCTCCAGAGTTTGACGTGCATGATTCCATCATGGCATCTCCAGACGGCTCCATTGACTCCCACTGCTCAGAGAAGAGCGCCATGTGCTCCGTGTCGTGAACCCTTAGTCACCATGGCGATATAGGCCACTTAGGGCGAAGGCTCAAGCTGTGGCTGATAATAATGAAAGTTATACTATAATAACTTTCTTGAAAAAAACATGCTTTTATATATTTGTTTCATTCGTTACAGAACGCTGAAAGCTCGGGTAACATTTAACCATGAACATTGTTTTATTACAGAGCGCTGTTGTGCCTTATTTGTCCAATGTGTCCATGTTATGGCAATCTATGTACGATTAAAGTAGTCCAGGCCAACGTGTGATAACACCAGAAATGTTTTATCTGTATAAAGATTAGTCATATATGTTTAATAATATATTCCTACACATTGAATAGAGCACATATAGTTACTTTGTAACACATACTAACTGTATTCTGCCTTTCACTGTTAGCTCCCGCTGCATGACTGAGTCCACTCCGCTGTGTCAGCCTTTCTCACGCATAGCCTACTGCACTAACAGAACAGAACACCATGTCAACACTGTGGAAATAAAACAAGGTGACAGCATAGCTAGAGAAAGTCTAATGGAGCTTGTTTTCATTGACATGCACACATATACTGCATTGGCATTTGGGTTACAATAGAGACCACTTACAGGCAAGTCAATAAAGGTCAAACATACACTGAGTATGTGTGTGTATCTGTGTGTGTGTGTGCTTTAGTGGAAATAGTTGCATAATCCATGGAATTGGAACACACAGAACAGACAAGTCAATATAGATGAACAGTCCATTTGTTCTCCATTATATTATTCATGAAATGGTAACATAAAGAACACACAACACATGACAGACAGATTCCCAGATAAGGGCAATACAATGTGTATGGTATATACATTCATTTATTCACGTCAGGGAGTCCTGTGCGCATGCACTCAAAAGTTATGCACAGTAGTGTAACATCCTACTGCTCCTCCATGACACGCCCAAACAGGTCTATGCCTTCCATACTTCCTGAACACTGTTGCATGCTGGGTAGCATAATACGAGAAATTAATATAGAAGCATGGAAACATCATAGAAAGTGAGAGAGGACTTGTTGCCTTCCTCTCCTGTCTGCATGCCTCTCTAGTTCTCTCATGTCCTTGCCTCCATTCAGACCACGTTCCCAACCGACTGGCAGTCGGAGGAGCGCCACAGAAGGTGGCGTCCTCGCGATCCAGACTGCAGCCGTGTGCGGGCCTGGAGTCCTTGGGGGACAGCTCCAGGCCGCAGCGGGAGCAAAAAGTGTAGAAGTAGGCCACCAGGAGCAGGAAGTAGACCACGCAGAAGATGATGATCAGCTGCATGTGCTCCTCCTCAAACCAGTGGTAAGGGGTCAGGGTCGCGGCCATTGCCGGGGTCAAGTCGGGGTTAGAGGTCATGGCAGGTGGCCGAGGGTCGCTGGAAGTGAGGTAGGGGACGGCTGTCATGGCTGATTGGTCGGTTTGTTGCACTGTAAAAGTAGAAAGACTCAAAACACCATGATTTTGTAATGAATCCATGAAAAGTAGTGCACCTAACCTGAGATCAGGCGTTTGGAGGGAGTTTGAATGTAAACCCAATGTAAGCGTTATGATACACATAAAGTGTTTTAAAACAGAATAGAAGTACTCTGAAACACCCAAAGGGGTTCTTCAATCTCAATGTTGGTGTTTCTAAGAGAGTCTCGTGAGAATACCTTTTGGGGTTTCAGTGCATGTAAAAGGCAACATCAAAACAAAGAAAACTAAATTTTTTTGCAGACTGTCTCTCACAATCAAATGGTTAAGAAATGCAAATAGTTTATAGCCTAAATATTGATGATAAGGGCCTATAGAGAATATTATTTTGGGGTGGAATTCCACCTAGATTTTTTCAGTGCTTTATTAAAACAGATTAGAAACAGGAGGAGACAGAGAAGAAGTGAAAGTGTGACAGGCAGAAGCAGGAATTGAACCCCCGACTTCTGGGGCAGTAAGATGGTACATTTAATTGGCATTTCATTGGAATTTTACACACTCAACCACACAGCCACACTCTAAAATAATTATTCTGTTGTGAATTGAAATTGACTAAAAATAAACAACCAACATATACTTACTAAAAATGAATGCAAGCCGTTTCAAAGATTTGTTCATTTCAAATTAACAAAATAATTCAGATTAAATCCAACTTAATATGTTGCTCAAATTGTAAGTCTCTTTAATGAGGATAACCAAAGATTAAGAAAATATTGTGCTTGAACTCATTGGAAGTCTGGTTTTAAGCTAGTTGCACTTGCTATTTTGCCACATGGCTCTGTTTTTAGAGGATTGTGGGTAATTCAACATTTTTAGAATTTTACACAATGTTGTATGCATGTTTTAAAAAAGTATACTTTTACTGCATATTAGTATTAAGCAGCTTCCCACTGGGCACACACTGGCTGAATCAACAATGTTTCAATGTAATTTGTCAATGTATTGTGACGTGGAATCTACGTGGAAAATACATTGGATTTGAAAAAAGTTGTTTTGAGGGTGACATTTCAACTGCAGGATAATGTCATCATGGTAACCAAATGTCAACATAGACAAACCTTGTATAAATATGTTGAATTGGTACCTTTAAAACAACGTCAATGTTATATCCACTATCAGAAAAAATACAATAGGCTGGGCTTCAGTCCTACTGGAGAATGAATCTATCTACAGCTACAATTTGGTCTCCCATCCAGGCCTTTAACCAAGCCTTGCTTAGCTATGATATTTGTCACTGACTTACTAATGTGCTATCGTAAGAATTATTGTTTGTGTGACGAGGTGTGAATGAAGGATTCAGGCGCAGGAGGTAAAATACTGAAGTCCAGAGTTTAATCCGTTTGTATAAATCAAACGCCCAAAGCGTCAAACGAAACTATTACAAGGGAAAACATCCACCTTGGCATAAACACAGTGAATAGTAGCTCAACCAAGCTACACAGTCTCAGAAACAAACGATCACTCACAAAGACAAGGGGAACAGAGGGAACACTTATACACATACTAATTAGGGGAATGAGCACCAGGTGTGTGTGATTGACAAGACATGACAAGAGGAGTGATGAGAATGGGATCGGCAGTAGCTAGTATTCCGGTGACGACGAACGCCGAAGCCTGCCCGAACCAGGAGGGGAGGGGGACAGTTTGAGATATCTCCACTTAAAAACGAAATGGATTCACTGTTGCTGTCAAAGTCATTCCAAAGGGTAGGTTTAACAGAGCAAATGAAATATGGCCATTCTTTATCATCATATATCATTAATGATGCTATTAAGGCCTATATAGCATTTGCAAAGTAAAAAAACAGCCATTGTTTCAATTCAACCCAGGATTCAACTAAAAGTACACCATAGGCCTACATAGGCCTAGGGTTTCAAGCTCTGGTTGATTTAAATTGTAATGATATTTAGTAATATTGAATTGTGTTTGGTTGTCAACGCAACCAAATATCAACATTTGAAGGAAATGCATCTTCTGCTTGGATAGTTTCATCTGTGCCACTGACTTAATCTGGCTTTAATTCAGTTTGTATACAAATTAATAATTGATATGTTGGATTCACGTCTGAGCTGAATCTCAAATGTCATTGATCACTTGCACCAATGTACTTTTAATGTAATTTCAACTGTAATTCAGGACATTTGGTTCTGCTATTTGATGAAACACAGTGATCAAACATGAATCTGTTGTATAAAGAAACTAAATATCTGAAATTGTATTCCCATTTCAACTTTGATTAGCTTTTAAATGGTTGAAAGCACAGTGAGAAGACATTTGCGTGACAACTAAACCAAAAATCATTGGAATTTGGTTTTGCTTTTAGATGGTTGATAGTGATAACACATTGGACATTCAATTAACTTTTGGGTGTCTTTTTGAGTTGGTGAATTTAAGTTGTAATCTCATTGATCAACGTCTCAACCAAATATTACCCAATTATCCATGTTGAAATGATGTGGTGAGCCCAGTGGGTTGTCATGAGGTGTAATGGATCATGTTGAATGGATATCAAAACAGTCAGGCAAAATGACGTTCAATGATGAGATGACCCATTCCCACATATCCAACTTTTAATGGTAGAGGCAAATACAGGATCCTGCAATGCTGGCTATAAAATATCTGATGGTGGATTGAGCACTGTGCTCAACAATGCCTGCCAAAATGGGTTAAACTGGCAAATGATCAGATACATAAATCAGTGATCTAATTCTGCACTAGACAGGATGTGAAACACCATCATAGTGTTTAGAAGCTTTAGAGAAAGGAAACGACACCGAAAGTGAAGGTACCTAATTCTGCCGTAAACAGAACTCGAAACATTAAAATAGTGTTTTCAACCTTTTCCAGTAGTGCTCCCAGTCCCTGGCAAGGTGTTGCAGAACACTTGATTAAGTGGTGTTACAACACACCATGTAATGTTTCAAAACATCTCAGGATGATGTTTCTATACTCCAGCAAAGTTTAGTCTCCTTTGCGTTGGTGGCAGCTCAGTTGCCACTCGTTTTGGTGTTACAAAGCACTTCATTTGAACAGTGTGTCTTGGCTGTCAGAGTTACAGTGTCAATGATAACGCAGCTATTGCCACCTGAGGGAGAGAGTGTTTGCTATTCTACATGCATCTGTGGCTTCAAACATCTCAACAGTTAGCGCTTCAGCCTGTTGAGCAACACTCATAACATTTACATTTTACAGACACTCTTATCCAGAGTGACTTACCGTTAGTGAGTGCATACATTTTTCATACTGGCCCCCCGTGGGAATCAAACCCACAACCCTGGCGTTGCAAGCACCATGCTCTACCAACTGAGCTACAGGAGGCTCATCCCTTCTACCTCTTTAATGTTCTACAACAGATGACAATGATGAGCAAATATCAATGCCATCCATTTTTAGAAAGATCTCTAATGCAATTCAGAATCAGCAACAGGTGTGAACTGTGGAAAAGTACTGTACTGTACACTATATCTGGACTAAGGGCTGGATTCACTCTGTGTCGCAGGAGTATCGCGAAAGATCCGCGTTATAGCTCGATTTAAATTTAAAGGCAATGCTCCTGCTTTCGCGGAAACTGCATTCACGGTAAATGCTGCATATGTCGGCTCAATCGTAATTACCTTTACATTTTCACGCGGATCTTCCGTGATACAGATTGAATCTAGCCCTAAATATAGAAGCAGACATAAAACAAGAATCCCTGAAGTACCTGATGCACTCTGCCATCTCTCTCCTCTAGCAGGGGGGATTCACTTTTCTCAATGGACAGAGAAAAGACACGCCCTTACATTCACAATAATTATCTCTCTCTCTGTCTCCCTCTGTTCTTACCAGCATGTCCACTTCACATCATGGGCTCGTCTGCAGAGGAGTCCAATCTCTTTGTGTGGGAGGCTAGTACTGTTTTGTTTTCATGTGTGGAGCAAAAAAAGAAAAAGAAAGATGAAAAATAAGATAAGGGGAGGTGGGGATGGGGATGGGGGATAGAAAGAAGGAGGCAGATGAAGTGAAGGGGCCAACAGGGAAGGTTACCATGACAGCCATTCCTCGCTAAGCGGCGTGACATCACCACCATTCAAACACATGTTGGGAAAAATCATCCTGCCGACACAATCACCTAAATTTGGAGAAGACAGACTGGAAATAAAGTTCTACCCATTTCCCTTCCAATTAAGTCAAACCCACGTTCATATAGTAGAATGGACTGTTCAATCAATTGATATGGGATGAGGCTTAGACTAGAGGACTGTGTAGGGTAGGGAAAAGGTGTTAAGATATTTTTGTATTGACTCATCTCCTACAGAGTCATCACCATGAAGGCTAGCCAAGCTTCATGCGTGATTTAAGAGGCTAATCTTGTGATGGTTCAGTTTGTGATTATGTGTCACAACCAAAGTCTCTCCCTGCATATCAATGGTTCAAATCACAGGTTCTGATAGCATGACTTTATTTTCATCCTCTCCAATACTGCTATCTGTTGGCCAAGGATGATGTTGTTGTTGCAGAAATAGATATTAGTCAGCCACAGCATCTTTCGTTAGCTGTAGGCTTTGATCTGCATACAGGTTGCTATGGAAATTCCTTGATCAAAATATTCTATTGCTATGGTAACACAGAATTAGCCGTTTTGCTAGCAATCAAGCTTTGCTTTGTACTTAGTGTAGCTGGTCAACACGACAAAGCCAAATACAGCTGAACAGTCAAAACAACTGTCAGCAAACAATCCATCTGTCTGCTGCTTGATTGAACAAAGATGGCAGAGTGGAGGGACTATATTAAAGCCACTCTGAAGGAGAAGTTTGTGGAGGACGTAGCCATCGTTGGCCTGTACGACAACAAGGCCGTGTGGGCCTCCAAGCCTGGGGGTGTCCTGGCTGCCATCTGCCCACAGGAAGTGGAGGCTCTGGTGGGCAAAGACAGAGGAAGTCTCCTGCAGGAGGGGGTCACCGTTGGAGGTCGGAAGGTGGCAGTGATACGAGACCACATGACAGGCCCTGAGACAGAGATCCTATTCATTGACCTCCGGACCAAAGGCAGCGAGAGTTTGGCTCTCACGGTTGCCATGATGACCAAGGCTCTGGTGTTTGTGATGGGCAAACGAGGGGTGCATGGCGGGATAGTCAACAAGAAGGTGTGTGACATGGCCAAGTACCTCCATGAGAGGGGTGTGTGATGACCTCCATCCAAATACTGGACCAGTATATCAGGGGGCAGTGGATGGATTTTCCTGCCTTCAAAATATCCTTCATTAAAGTTCCAACGCAGCCGTTTTTATCGCAATATCAAATCATTTCTGGGTAACAATTTAATACCTTACTTTGATTGTTTTCGATTAAAATGGTCAAAAAGAAACAAAAATAGCTTCTTAGCAAAGCAAGAATTTAGCTACACTCTAAAAAGAAAAGGTTCCTGGAGTATCCTTTAGGGGTTCTTCAAATTGAAACTGTGGGGGAACCCCTATAAGTTATTCGAAGAACCCGTTCTTCACCAGGCAGGCCAAAACTCCATCCCACCAAAACAGGATGAAATTTCAGGCGGTCTTTTCAAGCAGTTCTTACACTAAAATGGTGTTATCATAATTCGAACAATTTCACAGTATTATTCCAACGTCATAGTGTGGAAATATTAAACACAGGGAAATCATGCTTTTGACTGCACTGGGCCTTTAAAAACTGAGGTGTTCCATGAGCAGAATATGATATGAATATGATTTTGATGCTTTTACCACTTGACCGAGGGTTTAAAACCAAACAGACTGAGAAGCAAATATGACTAACACTTTTAATGTAAAAAATCTCAAAATCTCAAAACACAAATACTTTTACATTACACAGATACTTTACACATAACCTACTCTGGTGTTTACCGACCTGACTGACTGACTCAAACAATATGACTATATGTTTATGTCAATTCTCTCATTTTTTAAATATTATAAATAAGAAAACACAGAGACTTGCCATTGGAAGCTTCCAGATACGGGGTAAAACATAAATTACAGGATATGGACATAATGCTAATTTAATTAAATTAGATCATTTTATTACAACATATTCAAATAGGGCATATTTGTAAATATAAAAAACAAAACATTCCTTCAATTTCTAGGGCCAATATTCTTCTTTCATTGGAGCACCATTTAAAATAAGGTATCTCACATACACATTGCAGTAATAAAATAACCAGACAGTGTAAAAATACAAGAGGTGGGTATGTTTCTCTCTGGTAAAAAGGAGGATTGGTACAGTAGGGCTGGTAGTTTATTTCTTCTTATTTACGATGTTGTTGCAAATCCAGTTCATGCCATCCTGGGGTGATTGAAAATGGAGCAGAGTAAGGAGGAAAATAGGGTCAAATTCAAATCTCATCAACAAGGACATTTTGGTACATGTTCAGGTGTTTTAGGCCATTCTGATTAGTGCTACCTAAACCATCAGGAAGAATGTATTGATTTCCTGATTCTAACTAAAGTGCACCTCAACCAGTCAATCATTTGGTCTAATTCCAGTTTAACAGTACTGACCTGTACTCCCTCCCCGGACACTGCTGAGCAGGCCTGGATCTGCCACTGGCGGTCCCGGTACGTGTGCAGGTTGAGTCCCTCAGCGATCTCACTGGCGGGCGAGGCCGTGGCCAGGTCCTGCTTATTGGCAAAGATGAGCACTGGCACACCCTTTAAGTTCTCCTCATCGATCAGTTCTTCCAGCTCCTAAAGAGAGGAAGAGAGAGGAAGAGAGAGATAGAGAGAGAGAGAGAGAGAGAATAGATAGAGACGGATGCGAGTCGAGATCTAGATAGAGACTCTCTCTAGCTATTCGACGCTGAGCCCTAGCGGAGAGAGAGATGGAGGAGAGTCGAGCCTCGAGAGAGAGAGAGAGAGAGAGAGAGAGAGAACTCAACGCACAGATACAGATCACATCTGCTAGATAGCTATTACAGACAGATCTGAGGTGTGCCATCCTTACCAGTCCCGTCTCCTCAAACCGCTTCTTGTCTGCACTGTCTATGACATAGATCTGGAAATCGAAAATAATGAACTATAAACATCTAAAAGATCCAGGATCCATATAGTTGTCAAAAGTATTATTTCGCCATATTTACTACATGCAATATCATCCTCTAGGCCCACAACATTCATATCATGGATTGTTGGGCATAGTTGTTCTCCTTACCTTAATGAGCTACTATCGATCTCAACATGAGGATCATATGACAGAATGCAGCGGATCTGAATGACCCTGTTAGGTGCTCACCAGTAAATCTGTATTTTCAAGGTATTTCTTCCAGAAGGGACGGATCTTCCTCTGTCCTCCAATATCCCATACATTCAGCTTCATGCCATGTGAGCCACACTCTTAATGTTAAAGCCCTGGTGTCAAACACAAACCATGGGTTAGTACTCTATGTCAGGGCATTTCATTAGAGAGCCAGCAGCTAAAATGATTAAATAAAGTCAAGTCAGCCCACCATTCATCACTGTGATCTCAACCAAAAAAATCTGAATGACACTTAAGACTTACAGTTAAACATATTCCTATGAACATGGGACAACAACAACAACAACTTTGGCTCAACCAGGGTTGTGCTTTTCATGTCTAAGAGGAAGTGTTGTCCTGACATGGGCCACAGCCTTTTTCATAACACTGTCTCTATCTGGCTCAGCAGTGAGAGGTTGTGTAACAACATGATCCCTCAGTAGAGATAGGCCTCAGCCTCATGCTACCTGCATGCTACTTGCTGAGCCAATCCTTACCATCCTGCTTTCTCACTGAAGTCCGCCCTGCCCTTTCACCTTTCCTTTACCTTATTTCTAACCCTGAGTAAGGTTGCAAAATTCCGGGAACTTTCAATAAATTCCCTGGTTTTCTCAAAATCCCGGTTGGAGGATTGCTGGAGTCAGGAGGGACATCCAGAGTCCTCCAACCAGGATTTCTGGAAAACCAGGGAATTTATTGAAAGTTCCCAGAATTTTGCAACCCTAACCCAGAGGTTACGGCTACGTCTACATTGGAGTCATTTTGTTTTGTCTGTGTCAGGGTGACGTGATGTTATGTTCCTTCACCTGATTGTTGATAGTACATTTACATTACATTTGAGTCATTTAGCAGACACTCTTATCCAGAGCGACTTACAGGTAATACATTCATCTTAAGATAGCTAAGTGAGACAACCACATAGTAGTTACATTTTTCCTCAATAAAGAAGCTATCAGCAAAGTCAGTGCTAGTAGGAAAAGTCAGGTGCAAGTGTGGTGTAATGCTATAGCTATGTATAGGTGTGAATGTGATGGTGTCTTACATGCTGTGAGAGCGAGAGAGCGAGAGAGAGGGAGAGAGGGAGAGAGAGTGTATGTGTGTGTGTGTGTACACACGTTTTACTATACTTGTGAGTAGCAGAGTCCTCACAAGAATAGTAAACCAACAAAAATTCAGAGAAGTGAGGACATTTTACTGCTCCTCACTTGTAAAAAGGCTATTTTAGGCTTAGGGGTTAGGTTTAGGGTTAGGGTTAGAATTAGGGTTAAGGTTATGGTTAGGGTTAGGGAAAATGGGATTTTGTTGTGTGTGTATTGTATGTCTGTGTGTATGCCTGTGTGTGATGCCCTCTGACCTGTGTGGGTGTGATAGTGTTGATATCTTCTGAGGCGAGGCTCTTCAGTAGGGTGGTCTTGCCTGCATTATCCAGACCCAGTAAAACTATCCTCAGCTCCACACTCTCTGTGGTCCCCTTCAACTTCTGAAGGACCGAGAGCAAGCCCTGAGGAAGACATATTACAATTCAGTAAAATTCCGTCCATTTTATTACTGCTTGACACGATAGTTCATTTACCATAACATAACAATCCCAACACACTTGACTATGGTCATCAGGCCTATAGTGAAGCTATAAGCTTGGAAAAGTTACTATTTACTATAATGTGATCAAATCAATTTCAAGGTGTTGAATGAAAGGTATGCATGCATCCATCCATCCATCCATCCATCTGATTGGTAGCTGATGACAAAAGCTTCCAGCCACAGGTTTTGTGCCCAGAGTGTAGGTAGGTCCATTCTGATCTCATGGGTAGGCCCTAGTAGCCCCCTTTCTAGTGGCCCCAAGTAGATTATGTCCCACATCATTTACATAATCATCAGAGAGAGAAAACAGGAAGTATGGATGGAGGGAATGACTTGCCTCATTTCCATTCAGATCATTTCCATTCACTTAATGACATGCTGTGTGGTTTATGAGCCAACCAACAGAAACCAAATTGCACAGTTATTTCCCAGTAGGGTACAGTATAATAAACACCTTGTTATGACACACACTAACTGTATGTTTAGAACCTTAGTAAGCCCCTGACCTAAGAAACGAGGGCATGTTGTCAAAGCCTTGTCTCTTTGAAACAGTTGACTTACAGCACGATGACACGATGACCCTTTCTCGCCCTCCCTTTCTATCTATCCCTCTTGCTTGCTCTCACAATGTCTCTCTCTCTCTCTCTCTCTTCGTCCCTCTCTTTCCCTATCTCTCTTGTGTAAGCTTTAATCTGCCACTTCATTTAGAAAAGCAGTAGCGTTTATTTCGGCCTCATTCATGTAATAGCCTACTGATTAATATAATAAGATTAATGCATGTTGCACAAACACACTCTCTGACTACTGAAAAGAATATCACAAATATGCACATATAAAAAAAACATACACAACAAGGACAACCACACACAAAGAATGTTTACCAATATTACTAGTAAGAGATTATTTCCTGACAACCAGCGCTTTTACTTGTAACATTACATATACAATGAAATGTACAGTTAAGGTTCCACTTATTCAACCAGTGACATTTTTACCAACCAGAGCCCAATTTGTTGAGTTGTACATACAGATGAGATAAAACATTCTTTAAAAAATAACTTGTGGAGCTCACTCCTATCAAGTGAAGACTCCACTTATTTCCCATCGGTCACACAAACACATGATGAGCCATAGAAGCCTCCATATTAAGCCACATACCTTTGTAGCTTCTCCCATGGTGGCGTGTGTTGTGTGGTGTAGCCAAAAGGCTGCAGCTACATTCTCTGCTAAACCCAACAGGTACGCTAACTGCTATCCAGGACAGGTCACCTGTTAGTTAGGGTGAAAACAAGGTACCTGCTTTTACCTCTTCCTCTTCCTCTTAAAAAAACCTGTGTGTATGACTGAGTGTTGTCTCCCTACGTTAGCTTGCTCACAACTGTTGGGTAGGCGAAGAAGAAAAGTCAAAGAGGGAGAGGGGGTTGGGACTAGGATTATGAGACCAGAATTAGCCCTCGTCTTCTGTCCAGAGTCACCCTCAACCCCCTCTCCCTCCCTCCCTCCGTCCATCCCTCCATCCCCACTTGGAGCTTTACTTGGATTATCTCTGAGCCACCTGCTAGTAAGGAAACTGAAGAAACAGCCTTACTGACACTCCATCACACACACACACACACACACACATAACACCACACACACATTTCGAAATTAAGCCTGACACTACCATATGGTATTGCAAACACAAACCCACTGTTCCCTCTGTTCCCGCGCACAAACACATACAGTATACACACTCACACCAACACCCATATAAATAAAGAGAGCACACACAGTGTCCCTTTATTCAGGCAGTAGGATTACATGGAGTAGGCCCGAGCGAGGATTACAGCATTTCCTGGTGCTTTTACTCCACTGAATGGAGACGCTGTGCAGTAGGAGTGGCTAATCTGGTTGCTAAGAGCCTGTCGCCTGGTTACACAATAGAGCCACCCTGGCCTGGCCTCTTACACACACACACACACACACACACACACACACACACACACACACACACACACACACACACACACACACACACACACACACACACAGACAGACACACTTACTTAGAAAACTCTGATAGTCATCTTTCCAAATCTTTACTTATTTATTAAATAGAATGCAATTTCTCACAGTCCATACTACAGTGATGGAACAAACACACATATTAGAGATAGTTGTGGATGGTGAAAAGAAACTAGGCTGGAATTTAATACATTTACAAGAAAATAAACATTGTTATTCCTTTTTTAAAGTACTTTGAAAGTCTGGAATGGGACAAACAGATATAAATATCCAGGTTCGTTTGAGGACTTTTTGGCTCAAGGTACAGTCTACTACATGCGCAGATACAGATGCATAAACAAGTGAAAACTGAATGGGTATGTATGTTTCTCTGGGCCTGGTCCATAGTCAAATACCTCTGTTGTAGGGTTTAATACCGGTAACCAATATCATGAGATTTCCCGACCTAGCTCAAAAGGGGAACTTGGGACCAATAATATATAACTTTTATGCCGCACTTATGCAAAAATACAAAATATGCACGTGCGAATAGCTGCAATCTGGCTTGATTCATAGGCTACATTGACAAGTCACCACAATGCTAGCAGCCTACCATGTTTAGGCTACTGAAAATACTGTTAAGTCCCCAATAGAAAACATCACTTACTTGCATGGCTTCTATAAATGTAAATGCTGACTATCATGTGTAGGCTACACGCGACACCTTGACCCAGTTACGGTAATTACGGCCACATTCATTACATACAAAAGACAATATCCAAATGTAAATGTTTATTATTAGCCTAATATCATGAATTTGGCATATTATTTATAGGGCTAATCTTCGAATTAGCTGTGTGGCACTGGCAGAGGCTGAAAATATAAATTGTGGGTACTCACAAAACAGCTGATAACTCTACATTGTGTCCACAAAAGCGCTAAAGGAAATTTTTGTTTGCTATCCATGGTTCTGAATCCTTGTTTGTTTAGCGGAGAATTGGATATGTTGTGCCAAAGGTATCATAAAGTGCAAACAGCCACAACCGACCCAAAAGCTGGCTGACATCTTTCAGTCAAAGGTAGGCTAAGACTAATGCAATTTTGGTAACACTTTACTTGACACCCAGTGTCATAACACGTTATGACACGGACATAACCATGTCATAATATGTCATAACAGCTGACATAACTTGTCATTACTTGTCATAATAAGGTCATAACACTGCCATGATCCATATATTTACAGCTGTTGTGACATATATTGCGTTATTGTATGGCTGGTTATGACACCAAGTGTTAAAACACAAATCTATTCAAATTAGTTTTTTCCCTGCCAAGAAGTTTCCTTTAATTTGAAAGTTTGTTTGTTGTTTGTTTTTGTTATAATGAATTTGTTACAGTCATGTTTTTTTCATAATATTTTAAATAACTTATATTATGACCATCCTGTGTCACTTTACTTGGACTAAGAAAATACACTTTATATAAAAAAAAAAATGTATATGGGGTATTGGAAATGATGCAGACAATTACATTGATGGAAGCTACAATCTATCTGCAGTATTAAAGCTGATATACCCCCTTAAAAAAAATAAAAAAAATAATAATGTATGACTCTGTCAAGAAGCATTATGACCATCTTAATCATATAGCTCAAGCTAGCAATAAAAACAGATTAAAAAAAAACAGATAAAAGAACACCTTACTACACAAAGGGTACTGTGAAGAGACACAGCCATTTTATATATGTTGTAATGTAATTTACACTGTATTATGTATTAGACCTAGATATTGTGTGTATGTACTGATATGTAGGCTATGTGTGACGTTTAAAAATGTATGTAGTTAAGTCCTTGACTAATAATGTTCTGTACTATGTATTATGTCATGTTTCATGTGGATCCCAGGAAGAGTAGCTGCTGCTTTTGCAGTGGCTAATGGGGATCCTAATAAATACCAAATATCAAAGATAAGCCAGATAGGCCTATCACGTACATGCCCTTATATCATCAGTCAAAAAGAGGGTGTCGTGTCCTGTTCCTGAAATCTGCTCCTGCATTCATCCCAGTCATCAACAACAGAGCATTGGGGTAGGTGTATGTCTTGACATCAATGTGTGTGTAATTATAATGATAACTTAATATGGTCTATTTCAACAACAAAAATATAACATAAACATACTGTTGACATGTAGGCTATGGTGTAATGGAATGTTTTGCCTTGTGTGGTAGATTTTGTGGGTTTTGACACTCTTATGTAGGTGTCATAACCAGCCATAAAATAACGCAATATATGTCACAACATGTCTAAATATATGTGTCATGACAGTGTTATGACCATATTATAACAGGTTATGACAAGTCATGTCAGCTATTATGATATATTATGACATGTTTATGACCGTGACATAACGTGTTATGAGGCTGGGTGTCAAATAAAGTGTTAACATAATTTTCACTAGGCTGTAACAACATTTTACCAGTTGGCCAACAGTGCTTCATAGACCTACATTAAAAGTAGACAATATCAACAAAATAGTGTGGTGACTTTGAGAGAACTTTATGTTGATTGAAGGCCCAGTGCTGTCAAAAACGTGATTTTCCTGTGTTTTAAATATATTTCCACACCAAGAGGTTGGAATAATACTGTGAATTTGTGAAAATTATGATAATTCCCTTTTAGTGTAAGAGCTGTTTCAAAGGACCACGTGAAATTTCAGCCAGTTTTTTAGGGATGGAGTTTTGGCCTGCCTGGTGACATCACCAATAACAGCAAATTTTCCGTTTTCCCCTCACAACTCATACCACTCCAAGACAGTCCTAGCAAAATTCCTCTTTGCTAAGAAGCTATTTTTGTTTCTTTTTGACCATTTTAATTGAAAGTAATCACAGTAAGGTACTTAATTCTTACCCAGAACTGATTTGATATTGAGATAAAAATGGCTGCATTGGACCTTTAAATTGCAACAAAAAGAACAAGAAACCATTAGATACATGTGTATGTTTCTCCATTTACAGTGAATCCGATTTTCTTTGCTGATATTATATGCTTTTAAATAGCATTTCCGGTTTGAATGGGAATACATGGATGTCCGGGAAGAGCTTGCAATTTTCTTGGGAAGGAAAATGGGTAGTTTTTTTTGAAAAATGAAACCCTACTCTGTTGTGGTGGCGGTGCTCCGTAGGTTTGGAGTATTCTGCTGCATCCTGGTCTTGGTCTTCACTGTAGAGAGAGAAAGAGAAATATAGAGTGAGAGAAGAGAGAGAGAGAGAGAGAGACGAGAGAGAGATATAGGAGAGAGAGAGAGAGAGAGAGAGAGATGAGAGAGAGAGGAGGAGAGAGAGAGCGAGAGAGAAAGAGAGAAGAGAGAGAAGAGAGAGAGAGAGAGTAGAGAGAGAGAGAGGAGAGCTCTCTCTCTCTCTCTTCTCTCTCTCTCTCATGCCATCTCTCGGGCTCGCTTCTCTGCCTCTTTTCTCTCTCTTCCCCCTTAGGATCTTCCAAGGAGCTTACGTCACATGGAAAGTTACACATTTACTGTTGTTTTATTCCTTGTTTCTCTTATTGTGAATCACTCACCAAAGTTCTTCTTCAGCATGATCTTGAGGCCCATGCCCAGGACCAGCACCACAGCAGACACACCACAGATCACAATGATCACCACTGTCAGGTCTGACAGGCAGAGGGACAGCACAGAGGGACAGACAGAGCGAAAGCCCAGTGGGAGACAGAGGAAGTAACACAGGGTGTTATTCCAATTCAGGAATTCTATTGAACATGTAATTGGTTGGAGATTTTTTTTGTCCCTTTCACACAATAGGCTCATTTGCTGAGTAGTAACTAAAAAGAAATACCTTGACATCGCCTGATCCAGTTATGAGTATAAACTTTTCAAGTCTCAAACATGACCAGCGAGTGTGTCTACCTTTAAATTCAAGTTCTTCTGGATCTGAAGTGAAGTTGCCACAGGGACTCTGGATGGTGCAGGTGTATTTCCCCTTGGAAGGGGTATCTATGCCTATCCTCTCCAAGGTGAGCGTGCTATTGTTCTCGCCCTCCAGGGGAAGCCCATCCTTCAGCCAGACAAACACCAGCAGGTCGTGATCTCTCACCGGTAGGTCGTGGGCACACTCCATTGTGAGGTCATCACCCTCCTCCACTTCGAACCCATAACTGGTGTTCAGAAACACTTCAAAATCTGTTGAGTCGAAGACAGGTTAAAGATGGGTTAAAAAGAGTTGGACAAAATACAGATATTGTATGTCATAGATAGGGCCCAGAGTTTTGTGATTTTTTGGTTGTCTCATTCCACCAGGTCACTTTCTATACAATACCTTTTATGCAATTCTCTACATCTGAAAGAGGCAAAAAAGGAAGGAGAGAATATCAGAGAGAAACAAATCAGGACAGCACAGAGTCCCTGTCTCTGGTGTACAATACATCCTCTTCATCTCCTCCTAAATGTTATCTCAGAGACATATGGTCAGAGAGAGACAGAAATACAGTACTCTCTCTAATGTCCATTGCTCGTGTTTCTTGGCCCAAGCAGGTCTCTTCTTATTATTGTTGTCCTTTAGTAGTGGTTACTTTGCAGCAATTCGACCATGAAAGCCTGATTCACACAGTCCCCTCTGAACAGTTGATGTTGAGATGTGTCTGTTACTTGAACTCTGTGAAGCATTTATTTGGGCTGCAATTTCTGAGGCTGGTAACTCTAATGAACGTATCCTATGCAGCAGCGGTAACTCTGGGTTGCCCATTGATGTGGCGGTCCTCATGAGAGCCAGTTTCATCATAGTGCTTGATGGTTTTTGCGACTGCACTTGAAGAAACTTTCAAAGTTCTTGACATTTTCCGTATTGACTGACCTTCATGTCTTAAAGTAATAATGGACTGTCCTTTCTCTTTGCTTATTTGAGCTGTTCTTGCCATAATATGGACTTGGTATGTTACCAAATAGGCTATCTTCTGTATACCCCCCCTTCCTAGTCACAACACAACTGATTGGCTCAAACACATTAAGAAGGAAAGAAATTCCACAAATTAACTTTTAAGAAGGCACACCTGTTAATGGAAATGCATTCCAGGTGACTACCTCATGAAGCTGGTTGAGAGAATGCCAAGAGTGTGCAAAGCTGTCATCAAGGCAAAGGGTGGCTAGTTGAAGAATCTCAAATATAAAATATATTTTGATTTGTTTAACCATTTTCTGGTTACTACATGATTCCATATGTGTTATTTCATAGTTTTGATGTCTTCACTATTTTTCTACAATGTAGAAAATAGTAGAAAATATAGAAAAACCCTTGAATGAGTAGGTGTCCAAACTTTTGACTGGTAGTGTATATATATACACTCATATTCAATTAACATTTCTACAACCACCATATCAAAATGGAGAACTCAACTATGTATTGGAGGTAGTGAGTATACTGACTGATATTACATTAATACTGACCAGTGGTATTGAGGCATTGGGTAGTGTTTGAGCACAGGTGCTCACAGATGGCTGAGGGAGAGATAGAAAAAAAAAGGGATATTTTCAGAGCAGCCATAGTTAGAGTTTGTTGGAGTTTCAAGAAAGATCAAGTTAACACAGGAACACTAAACTAGAATACTGAAATGGTCTGAATGTGAAAGATAAAAAGTCAGGATAATATATAAAGTGAAGGGTTTACCCTCATCTGATGTGTGATTCCCAGACACTTCAGGTGAGGGGATTATGTCACACCTCAGACACTCCAAAGGAACACAGGTAGAACAGACACTACCTTAAGTGAGAGAGAGCGAAAGGAGAGAGAGATAGAGAGAGAAGAGTGAGGCGGATAGAGGGAGAGGGAGAGGGAGTGTGGAGGGTGAGGAGAGAAAGAGGGATGGAAGAGTGAGAGCCGGAATAAAGGGAAAGAGAGAGAGGTATAGATAGAGCATTCAACAGGGGGTAATATCAAACAACTTTATTTTTAAAATGGAAATATGATTGTTCCTTACTGATCATGAGAAGGTAAGCGAGCGAATACAGGCCTGTCCCTGTCATCGTTTTCAGAGGTACCATCTGACAAAGAGACAAGAGATGTCATTCAGTTTCTATTAATCAAAAAGGTTAATCGAAATGGGTTCAAATGTAAATGAAATCTAAAAACAATATTTACTTCAGGGCATTCTCAATATTGTCAAAAACCTAGAAACTTTACTCAAAGCATTTAATAACATTTGTTTAACCTGTTGTTAGTATAATGAAATACATTAGCCTATAACATTACATTATTGAATTGAATAAAGTATTTTACCTCTTGTGCTGAGTCTCTCTGGTCATGCACTGAGTTCCATGGGCGAGGAGTGAGTGACCGTCTTTACTTTGCCTAACATACAGAATTACCTTTGTTTCTGGAGAAGGACTGATATCAATGCAATTCACCTCATCACCCACAGTTCCAAGACAATAACAAAAAAAAATACGCAAGTAACACAAGACCGTGTTTGCGCACTACTTGGTGCCTGGAGTTTGTTACTGAATTGGTGCACTAAGACTGTCCTTGGTGCTATTTAACAGGATTCAGAACACAATCAGTACGTAATTAGTCATTAACCTTGCACAAGCCTTGGCGTGTGCAAGCTGGAACAGCTCATAGGAACAGTAGCATGAGGCAGCTTGATGGACCCCTTGCACGCTAGTGTATCGAAGGGCCTTAGCCCCAATCTCCTTAATGCTGAGTGCCAAGCAGAGCCGCATTGGGTCCCATTTTTAAAGTCTTTGGTATGACTCGGTAGGGCATCGAACTCCCAACCTTCCAATCTCAGGGCGGACACTCAAACAACAAGGCCACTGAGTTGGTCAGAACAAAATGCCAGTGGTCAAATGGTCAAACCTGGACTTGGCTATAATATCATATCTACCTCAAACATATATGTGCACATGCACGCTGGCACTGACTCAGAAATGACTGTGGCGTCAATGCACCTGTTATCAGAATGAATTACAGACATCATAGTTGACCCATGCAAATTGTGTGTTGACTTCCAAAGTATCAGGAGCACTTTTTCCACAGACGGCACATTTAAAACATGAGGAGCAGTACAAAAGTACAGTACAATGCATCATGGGATATGAAGTTAATCTTTCCCAACTACCTGCCAGTCTGACTCTGAAGCCATTCAGGTCCGTTCTCTGAAGTCTTCAGCTTCACTTCCTCTATGGCCACCAGATAGTGCTGTTGATCAAACAAATATACTAACACAGTACCACACTTTTTTTCCTCTTCTCTCTCTCTCTCTCTCTCTCTCTCTCTCTCTCTCTCTATCTCTCTCTATCGCTCATATCTCTCTCTCTCTCTCTCTCTCTCTCTCTCTCTCTCTCTCTCTCTCTCTCTCTCTCTCTCTCTCTCCTTTAATTACTTTCTCCCTCTCTTGCCATTTAGCTTGCAGTGCTTTCACCTCATTGATTCAGGCCTGCCTAAATGAGGATAAACTGTAATTTTTCTCCTCTCAAAGAGCTCAAACAAATCAATTCCTATTAGTCTCTGGGCAGGAGAATAAAAGGCAGTGGAGTGTATTCATGGATGCCAAGGGAAGCCAGGCTTCCTCAAAACATGTACCTAGAAAAAAATAATGTGTAGGCCATCTATCTGATGCTGTCTGGTAATAAAGAGTATGACATTGTTGCTGCCCGTAGCATTGAATGCAAGGGAAGCCAGCGAGCATTTGGCCTCCCTTGATGAAAAAAAGTTTAACATAATAGCCAATCAGCATTGCGCTAAACTGAGTCATCTCAACTGTGAATGGTCCTGGCGCACCAAAATAAAGTGTCAAGGGAAGTCAGTTGGATTTGGCTTCACTCTGATCACATTGCATTAAAAGAAATACGTCATTGACAGAAACAACTTGAATTGTTGAATCTCGTTGTGTTGTTGTCCACCGGTGGCTAGTTAGTTAGCTAAAATTGGCCCTTTCCTAAATTAGCCATGGATAGAGATTTGGACTTGTGGTTTTACTTAATTCTCCGTACTGGCCAATGATTATAATGGCGATTCTGATCCAACCATAAATTCATACATTGTGCCCCTGGCATGAGAGGATGGAAGTTCAATATGTAGCTAGATGTAGAAGGCTAATGTAAAATACCTAAGGTTGCCCATGAAAGGAAGTTAGGCTAGCGAGCAAGCATTTTAGCCAGGTAGCCTAGGACAACAACAAATTAAAGCGTGTGCTGTAGAACAGTGATAGACCGTTTCATCAACATGAAAGAGGAGGATGGCATTGGTGTTTCTCTACAAGTAGGGTGAGTCAACATGTGTTCTACTTGCACGAACGAACGCACACACACACACACACAAATCAGAACCATGAACAGCCCCATCATATTAAGCTTACGTTGCAACTTGAGATAACTCTCTGTGGTTCTAAATCAATAGTTGTTTAGTAGTCCAAAAATGTCAGAAACATTAACTTGCTTGACCATGCTGTAGGTCATGTAACTGTTTGTTACATGCAATATGCTTTGTGGACTTCACCAGACAGAGGTTGCTCTCCGGCTTTGTGATGAAACAAAGGTGTGGTTGAATTTATTCAATCACTGTGTCTTCATCAATCAAATCGGGGGACACTGTGGCCCTGTGCGACGATATTCCCGGACAGGGCCAACCAGGCAGGATATAACCCCACCCACTTTGCCAAAGCACAGCCCCCACACCACTAGAGGGATGTCAACAGACCACCAACGTACTACTCTGAGACAAGGCTGAGTATAGCCCACGAAGATCTCCTCCACCGCACAAGCCCGAGGGGACGCACAACTGGACAGGAAGATCATGTCTGTGACTCAAACCACCCCTACTAGGGACAGCATGGAAGAGCACTAGTAAGCCAGTGACTCAGCCCCCGTAATAGGGTCAAAGGCAGAGAATCCCAGTGGAGAGAAGGGAGCTGGCCAGGCAGAGTCAGCAAGAGCGGTTCGTCACTACAGTGCCTTGCCGTTCACCTTCGCACCCCTGGGCCAGACTACACTCAATTGTAGGACCTACGATTGATGAGTCTTCAGTAAAGACTTAAAGGTCGAGACCGAGTCTGCGTCTATCACATGGATAGGCAGACCATTCCATAAAAATTTAGCTCTATAGGAGAAAGCCCTGCCTCCAGCTGTTTGCTTAGAAATTCTAGGGACAATAAGGAGGCCTGCGTCTTGTGACCATAGCGTACATGTAGGTATGTATGGCAGGACCAAATCGGAGAGATAGGTAGGAGCAAGCCCATGTAATGCTTTGTAGGTTAGCAGTAAAACCTTGAAATCAGCCCTAGCCTTAACAGGAAGCCAGTGTAGAGATGCTAGCACTGAAGTAATCTAGTCAAGATTCTAGCAGGCTTGTTTAGCACTAACTGAAGTTAATTTAGTGCTTTTTCCGGGTAGCTGGGGAGTAGAGCATTGCAGTAGTCTAATCTAGAAGTGACAAAAGCATGGATTAGCTTTTCTGCATCATTGTTGGACAAAATGTTTCTGATTTTTGCAATGTTACGAAGATGGAAAATATAATTGATGTGTTTGTCAAAAGAGAGATCAGGGTCCAGAGTAATGCCAAGTCCTTCACAGTTTTATTTGAGACGACTGTACAACCATCAAGATTAATTGTCAGATCCAACAGCAGATCTCTTTGTTTCTTTGGACCTAGAACTAGCATCTCTGTTTTGTCAGAGTTTAAAAGTAAAACATTTGCCGTCATCCACCTCCTTATGTCTGAAACACAGGCTTCCAGGTTAGGCAATTTTGGGCTTCACCATGTTTCATTGAAATATACAGCTGTGTGTAGTCCACATAGCAATGAAAGTTGACATTGTGTTTCTGAATTACATCACCAAGAGGTAGAATATATAGTGAAAACAATAGTGGTCCTAAAACGTAACCTTGAGGAATGCCGAAAATTACAATTGATTTGTCAGAGGACAAACCATCCACAGAGCCGAACTGATATCTTTCCGACAGATAAGATCTAAACCAGGCAAGAACTTGTCCATGTAGACCAATTAGGGTTTCCAATCTCTCCAAAAGAATGTGGTGATCGATGGTGTCAAAAGCAGAACTAAGGTCTAGGAGCATGAGGACAGATGCAGAGCCTTCATCTGACGCCATTAAAAGGTAATTTACAACCTTCACGAGTGTAGTCTCAGTGCTATGATGGGGTCTAAAACCAGACTGAAGCTTTTCGTATACATTATTTGTCTTCAGGATGGCAGTGAGTTGCTGCACAACAGCTTTTTCTAAACATTTTGAGAGGAATTGGAGATTCGATATACTGTAGGCCGAGAGATGCAGCTTGAAGTTTTAGAGGCCATGACTATTTCCACGAATGTGTCAAGAGATACAGGATTAAAAAACTTGAGTGTCTCCATTGATCCTAGGTCCTGGCAGTTCTGTGCAGATTCTGGACAACTGAGTTTTGGAGAAATACACAGATTCAAAGAGGAGTCCGTAATTTGCTTTCTTATGATCATAATATTTTCATTGAAGAAGTTCATGAATTCATCACTGCTGAAGTGAAAGTCATCATCTCTTGGGGAATGCTGTTTTTTAGTTAACTTTGCAACAGTATCAAAAATAAAAGTTGGATTGTTCTTATTGTCTTCAATGACGTTGGAAAAATAAGATGATCGAGCAGCAGTGAGGGCTCTTCGATATTGCACGGTACTGTCTTTCCAAACTAGTCGGAAGACTTCCAGTTTGGTGGAGCACCATTTCCATTCCAATTTTCTGGAAGCTTGCTTCAGGGCTCGGGTATTTTCTATATACCAGGGAGCAAAGTTATTGTGACAAATGTTTTTTGTTTTTAGGGGTGCGACTGCATCTAGGGTATTACGCAAGGTACAATTTTGATCCTCAGTTAGGTGGTTAACCAACTTTTGTACTCCGACATCCTTGGGTAGGTGGAAGGAGTCTGGAAGGGCATCTAGGAATCTTTTGGTTGTCCTAGAATCTATAGCACGGCTTTTGATGATCCTTGGTTGGGGTCTGAGCAGATTATTTGTTGCGATTGCAAACGTAATAAGATGCTGGTCCGACCAAGGATCATTTAGATCCACAATATTTATTCCACGGGACAAAACTAGTTCCAGGGTATGACTGTGGCAATGAGTAGGTCCGGAGACATGCTGGACAAAACCCACTGAGTTGATGATGGCTCTGAAAGCCTTTTGGAGTGGGTCTGTGGACTTTTCCATCTGAATATTAACGTCACCAAAAATTACAATATTATCTGCCAGGTTCGATAGGAATTCAGGGAACTCAGTGAGGAACACTGTATACGGTGCAGTAGGCCTGTAAACAGTAGCTATAAAGAGTGATTAAGCAGGCTGCACATATTTCATGACTAGAAGCTCAAAAGACAAAAAAAGCAGTCATTTTTTAAATGTTGCTGTCGTAAATGTTAGCAACACCTCCGCCTTTGCGGGATGCGCAGGGGATATGGTCACTAGTGTAACCAGGAGGAGAGGCCTCATTTAACAAAGTAAATTCATCACACTTGAGCCATGTTTCAGTCAGGCCAATCACATCAAGATTATGATCAGTGATTAGTTCATTGACTATGACTGCCTTGGAAGTCAGGGATCTAACATTAAGTATCCCTATTTTGAGATGTGAGATATCACAATCTCTTTCAATAATGACAGGAATGGAGGAGGTCTTTATTCCAGTGTGCTTGCTAAGGCGAACACCGCTATGTTTAGTTTTGCTCAATCTACATCGAGGCACAGACACGGTCTCAATGGGAATTGCTGAGCTGACTACATTGACTGTGCTAGTGGCAGACTCCACTAAGCTGGCAAGCTGGCTAACAGCCTGCTGCCTGGCCTGCACCCTATCTCATTGTGGAGCTAGAGGAGTTAGAGCCCTGTCTATGTTGATAGATAAGATGAGAGCACCCCTCCAGCTAGGATGGAGTCCGTCACTCCTCAGCAGGCCAGGCCTGCAAATTGCACCTGCTCCGGGCACTTCGTCGGTGGATGCACTGATCCCCATCTCCCTCTCCCGCTGAGTCTGACTCGCTAGTAGGCCTACTAGCTAGTGGAGGTGCCGGTGGTGATGCTGAACTGGAGAGATTAGCAGCGCTGCTAGCTAAGGCATCACCATCAGTAACAGTTTGCCCCTCACTCCTCTCCTCCGGCACTGACAGTTCTCTGGCTCGTTCTGGGTTCGATTCACCATCTTTCTCTGGATTTTTGGACTTGAAAAATGGAATCAAACTCGATTGCCTTTTCTTATTCATTTTTTATTTGGTTTTCCCACGATTCAAATTCAGTAGGGAGACGACTAGCCTAGGCTACGTGATGTCAATACGTAGGGACCTCTTCACTAGCTGACCACCACTACCAAGACCTGTGTCAAGATCAGTTACTTACTCCACCGACCCTCCCCATAACCTCTATGTACAAATAAGAGAGCAGGTCTGGAATCAGTGTGGCAGGATAGGATGATTACACAGAAGGATCACTGTGCTTTTACATGATGGTCTTTCCGGGGGGCGGGAGAAATAACGAGGAGGCAACTTGATTTAACGCTGATCGCTTTTATTAGAATGTCTACAGTGCGAACAGTGAAACAATCAATAAATCATGCCGCGAGAGGTACCAGATCCGGGCAAATAGGTGCCCAGATCCTGTTCCGGCAGGATCCGGCTCAAATTAAGCACTGCTTGCTCTGCTCTCCTCTGCTGATGGAATGGCATTTCACTGGCCTGAGAGATTATGGCACTGGTGTTTGATACCGTATAAGGGCATAAAACTGCCGCATTTGTTCTGTAAACTTTGGTTTGGTAAGCAAAAAGACAAACTGGTACAAATTACCATGGCTATATTCTTTGTTTTGAGCATGCAAAGTCTCACACCCCGCCCACGACTTTGACAGGCAAGAGGCTAGGTGAAAGAAGTTGAGGATACCAAAATGTAATTGTAGATATAGGTCTACATTTGAATTATACAATTTATTGTTATGCTTGCGTTTCTAAATCGCATGTCTTCAAATGCATTTTGTATCTTCAAATTCACTGACTCTTCAAGGAGTAGCTTAGCGTTCACTTTAAACCGCTGCTTTGTTATCAAACTCTTCTCTTTTCTCTCCTCTAGCACTACGTAAAAACAACATTTAATTCCGTCCCCAAAGCTTTTCTCCAGGAGAATGGGGGCTTTCAGCGGGCTCTTCCAAAGTTTCTCCCTCATGGTGAAGGGGACCCTCAGTACAAGTTTGGGAAACCGAGCACCTACAACCATACCCGCCCACCAACTCAAATAAATACATTTCTTTCAGAAATGTTTGTCTATCTTGAGTAGCCTATGAAACATTGAAAATCATACATAGGCCTACAGTGTTTTCACCAGCCCTATCTCTGATGGGGTGGGAAGCCGAGCCACAGCTCTTGTGGTTGGTGCTACTGTACATCAAGTACAGTAGCCTTATTTGCTTAGATGAGTTTTCACCTGCATCCTTTCAGGCCAGGTGTGTGTTTTCATCCTCATATGCCTTACAGCCTACACTGCCTAGTCTGTTCAAGAATTACAGTAGGGCAGAAACACACAACCCAAGCATCCACATAAGAGAGTTTCTCTGGAGGCAACACAAGAGCAGTGTGATCACTGTAACCACATTTCCCCTTTTGCGGACTGTTGCCACAGCGACACTTCCCTTTCAGACAGGAAGTCCTAAATGAGGAGGACCCAAGTGTGTGTGTCAGTGCAGGGCGGATCACTTTGCTGTGACCATCCAGTGTGTGAGCATCGTTTCGCATTCCCACCGGTGCTTCGGCCATGTCGAAGAATATGAAGACTCTGAGTGTTCCTGGTGTTGGTCACATGGTAAGTTGTCGGTTTCTCTGTAGACTTGGGTTGAATTCAGTGAGTTACTAGACGTGTGAATAAAATGTATGTGCAAATATACAGTTAGTATACAGATGTTCTCAGTATAGGCCTACAGATGCCCTCCACCACCCCTTGGTAAGCTGCTACATCCTGTCACTAATCTATAGCATCATGTGTTGATGCCCTGTCTTCTATGTGGTGCATTGAGTCATATTACAGTGTGTGTTGGGTGATGTGCCTCATGTCCTCAGAGGAGGCTGTTGAGAAATCTTTAAAGCGAGTCAGTGTGGATACAAGGAATGAACCACGGATAGAGTAAAAGTTCTGTCCCTCATCCCCATGGTTGTCATGGTGACTGGATTCCCAGGATGCCTCCTGTGGTGTGAGTGGAGTCCCCAATGCTCAAAGCAATACACGCATATGTTGGCGTCATGGAAGTGTCATAATTTGAGGTGTCATTGTCATCGCTGTTTTAAACGACAGTGAGTTCTAAGGGTTTTATCATTCATCAGAACCTAAGTACAGTCAGTGGAATCACAGAGTTGCATAAAACGTTTCATCAGATTCTCATCTTAGCAGTTAGCATGCACTGTATACGTGAGGCCGTAGGCTTTACTTGGGTCTGTCTCATGTGCGCTCTAAAAACAAGAATATGTGTGCCTGTGTCTGTCTTTGTGTTTGCATTGAATACAGCATGCACATTCTTGAACCGACTTCACGTTTCCTTGTGAAAGAACATGAACTATTACTACTCTCACCACAGAGGTGAAGGCTAAGCTTCACTAGAGCTGAATAAAAAACATTCTCTGTCTTGAAAGATGAATGAGAGAGAGAACGAGAGCAGTAGAGTGACATCCTCTTCCTGTGTGAGCTTGGGCCTTGCCTGCTTGAGTGCTTTAACGTAGAGGAGAGCTGTCAGAACAACAAAGCTATGCAGCTGTTCTCTTTACTCTCCACTTCCTGATGCTGTGTTGTTGTGTTTTTGAAAGCATCCTTCATTCACTCACTGCCTGAGAGATCTGGTTGGATGATTGTATGATCTTTCCTGTTTTGTATGGTATTCTGATTTGTAAAGTTGGTCTGCACTTATGTTTGTTTCTGACTTCCGATTAGAATGTATTTTAATGTCTGTATAACTGTGATCTGTATGGTATGCATCATGTGATATTGTACTTAACTGAGACTGACACACATTCCCCTTACTTGTCTCTGCAGAGCCAGGCAGTGTCAGATGGAGGTAAGTCATTGATGGTGTGTGTGTGTGTGTGTGTGTGTGTGTGTGTGTGTGTGTGTGTGTGTGTGTGTGTGTGTTCACTCGCTCACTCGCACGTGTGTGTCTGTCTGAAGGCTGTTTCTCAGAGCTGAACATGCCTGTGTGGGCAGTAGCGCTTGATTGCTACCCTGAGGCTTTATGGTGTGTACATGGGGCGTTAATAGTTCATGTGTGTGTGATTTTTCAGAGCTGAACATGTCTGGTCGTGGCTGTGGGGGCAGTCGTACAAGTCTACCAGGGGTCCAGGGGGGAGATGCCCAGGCCAGCGGTGTCGTCAGCTGGGCCGTGTGCTTTGAGAAGCTGCTGGAAGATCCCATGGGAATACGCTACTTCACAGTGAGCCATAGATGCACACACACAAACACACACACACACACACACACACACACACACACACACACACACTCTGCTGATCAGGTCTGATGGGAGCTGTATTGTAGGTGATCTGTTTATCAGGTATGCTCTGTGTTGTGTCATGCAGGCCTTCCTGAGGTCAGAGGTGAGTGCGGAGAACATCCTGTTCTATCAGGCCTGTGAGAAGTTCCGGAAGATTCCTCCCAGCAGGATGAAAGAGGTATGGTGGGATTCCTCTGTCTTCTCTTTAATGAATCCTAGCTATGTGTTTGACTGTATTTGTTGTATACATTTTCCATGTTGACTGTTATCTATGTGCTATGAGACAACTTCTACCTGAATGAGTGTGTGGAGTTAAGGTAGATTGATGGAGCTGAGGTTACAGGTGGTCTGATGACTGTGTTTGATTCTGGTCCTGTAGTTTGCTGAGGAGGCTCGCTCCATCTTCCAGACGTACCTGTCTGACCACGCTCCCTACTCTGTGAACATCGATGACACAGCTCGCATAGAGGAGAAGGACCTGCAGAAACCTACAGCTGAAATGTTCGACAAGGCCCAGACACAGGTCTGCTCTGCTGCCACCTGCCTTCCGCATACACACACATCTCACACAGACCAGCTACACCAGGCTACTGTACCTCATATAATACCACAAATTCAATTCTAATTCAATTCTCTCTCCCTGTAAATTCCATTGAATTCAATTAAAATTCCAGGTCAGTCATTGAATTCAAAGATAATTAAATTCCTCTGAATTTCAATGTTAGGTAAATTCCAATAATTCCATTTAGAATTCAATATTATCCCCAACAATTCCACAAATTCAAATTCAAATTCAATTCCCTTAGGCTTTCAGGCTGTTCATGTCACTGTTCAGACAGCCTAGCTATATTGAAAATATGGAAACACAGGTAGAATTTTTTTTAAACAAATCCTACAGCCAATTTAGTATACTATGTGCATTAATTCCATTAACTGGGAAATGTAAAAATATTTCAATTCAATTCAATTCCAAAGATTAAACTTTTTTACAATTCCAATTCAAAAAGTCCCAACAATCTAATTCAATTTCAATTCCAATTCCAATTCCATAACTTGAAGATTTTAAACATTTGAATTTTATTCAACGTAATTCTCCAATTTATGAGTGAATTCAAGAATTGAATTGGAATTTCAAATTAAATTGAAATTGACCCCAACCCTGTATAATACACTTGGAATTCAGTTCTCTGTTTGATGGAGATACATTTAAAGCAGGGATGGGCAACTCCAGTCCTCGGGGGCCGGAGTGGTGTCACACTTTTTCCCCATCCCTAGCAAACTTAGCTAATTAAACTAATTGCATTCTCAATACACTGAAGAGGAGTTGAGACAGCGACAACTAAAATTGTGAGACCAGCAAGCAGTGGCCACTGCAGCCACCTCTGCCACTCCTGATCCTGATCCTGGAGAGCCACGGTCAGACTAAGACTGGTGGTGCCTATGTGGGTGCTGTCCAGGCATGCCGACAGAAGAGGAATGTCTGTGCTGCAGCGAATTTGATTGCAGACAGTTCTTACTGGAGAGGGTCACTGCACACCCCATGGATCGTGTGTGTGTGTGACAGACCATCGAAGTTTCGACACACATATGGATAGAGGGGTGCTGGAGACGTTTTTGGTTTTGCTGTTGGTAAATAACTAGCAATATAAGCTATCTTTTTACACAAGGCAGTGTTGTTCAGTACAGCACAATTACACGATCGATTTGGCCATAACGGGGCATGCTAGTACCAATAAGTTTAGCTAGCTAGCTTTGTTTACTATACCCAAAATGTACTGTAGCCTATTGTTAGCTAGCTCAGTGCATGTCATTAGGAGCAAAACTGGAGCAAAAATGCATGTCATTAGGAGCAAAAAATTTTTTGATGATGATGATGATGATGATGATGACGAAGAGTAAAGGAATGACTTTGGCTTTATGACTCACAGTAATCTTTGAGTAACTACACCTGTGTTGTAGCTAGCTAACGTGTGTCTGTGAGGTGTGTAATATTCTGCATTCTGCTGCTACAGTAGAAATACAGACAGTACACAACAGTTGACCATACTGCTTGGTGGCCTACAGATTATTTTTGGAGTTTGTTATTTGTTGGGAGAAGCTAGACACAGGACACCGAATCCCCTTGCCTGTGTGTGTTATTGGGGCCATTCGAGTAATTTATTCCTGACACAATGGACAGTATGTTGGATACAAAGAAGTTGATGACTCTCAAGAGGATTTGTGAAAGGTCCCATAACAACAATCTCCCCTTGTATCAAAGTGACTCTGAACACCTCACTTATCTTAAGTATTGACTTTAGTATTTATTATAGGCGTTAGTAGTATATTTTTCTTCTACAGTATATATGTCATACATTGCCATAACTGTTCCTGCATACTGCTGTGTATACTCACGGTCTCCAGAGCAAATAGACTAATTTACTGTTTTATTGAAACGTTTACTTGCCAACAAATGAAAGTTGAAATGATACACCAACTCCCTGCATCATTTGTTTTAGCAGTAAGATTGTAGCTATTTTCTTCCAATTACATTTCATGAATGTCACAGTGAATTAATCGAGAAGTTGAGGTCAACACTTTATTGGTTTCTGTTGCAGCTGCAATCATTTAGTCACTTGTCAGTACACTTGTAAGAAAGATGATATAAAACATTTGATCAAACTCCAGCTATATCTATACAACAATGCAGTTGTTAGCATACTAGGTTTTCTATATTATATTGAAACATCAGTCTAACTGAATATGGATGTTGTGTTAGCTGAATGTTCCAGGCAGGGTCCTGAATGTTCTTCAGCTGATGAACCTCGTCTTGTGCTGGGCAATGGCAGCTGGTTTAGCAGGCTTAGGTGATGTTGGCAGGGATGTTGGGTTTGGGGAGCTGTGACTCTGGCTACTTGTAGACCACTGTCTTGTCCTTTCTGTGCTCCACAGCCAGGTGGACAAGCTTCTCCCTGAAGTGGTAGGGTCTGGGCTCGTACACATTCTTCACCACCGACTGCTTCAACCTCTTGCAGAAGATTTGGTTGTACTGCAAGTCTCCTGGAAAGATATGAACACTGATCATGAGGATGTGTAATCGTACAAGAACCATGTTCATCTGTAAACAAAAAAGGGTACGGTAGACTGGTACGCGTTTTGTTACACTCAGAGTCATTGATGGGGCATTGAAATGGTCTGTTAGCAAAGGTGTGAAAAGTTTGAGTGGTGGCTTGACTTGTAGACAGTCTAGTCGTGTATGAGCACCTACAGCTGTGCTGTTGAGTAGACAAGCACTGCCAACAATAGTGAATAGGATACTAACAGTCCCTCTCCCCCATGCCAAAGAACTGACTGCAAGGGTGTGATTTTTTTGTTGTTGGTATTTTACCACCAATTTCGTGATATCCAATTGCGATCCAGTCTCATTGCAATTGGATGGGATCAGGAGAGGCTAACATCCGCCCGCTTAAACAATGTGTTGGAGGAAACACCGTTCAACTGACGACCGAAGTCAGCCTACAGGTGCCCCCTAATCCGGACAACGCTGGGCCAATTGTGCGCCGCCCTATGGGACTCCCGGTCACGACATAGCCTGGGATAGAACCCAGGTCTGTAGTGACACCTCAAGCACTGCGATGCAGTGCCTTAGACCGCTGCGCCACTCGGGAGACCCCGGGTGTGAACATTTTGAGGAGCACTCGGCTTGTGTATTGGTGATTTTGTTTTCTCAAGAGGGGATTGTGCTTTCAATACCTTTGGCTGTCCTGGCTCCAGGATAGCAAGATGTGTCTGCAGCAGGATTAGTCTGTAGGACCCACACTAGTCAGTGATTAGCCAACATTTTACTACTTTGTCCCAATCAATGCACACTCAAACAAGGTACAATACCCACCCATCCCCCTCATGTCAATAGATCATGAATACTAAACTTCACACACAATACCCAATACCAACAGACACCAATCATTCACCTACACCATCTCCTCCTTACTAATACCTCTGCTTTTCTTCAATTTAGACTTCAAGCTTTGCATAAGCAATCAATTAAGCCTCCAGAACACAGAGAAAAAAACGACTTATAAACATGCCAACTATGACAACAAGACATGGACCAAGTTTATGCCTAGCTCCAGTATATTTATTTGCTCATCATGGTCATGGAAATATTTAGCAAAGGTGACTTACACTAGTTCCTGGTGCTGAGCTTGATGTTGATGGCGCTGCAGATGTTGATGGTATCGGACTATGTAAATAGAACACATAGGCCAGTCACGTTACGGCGGCAGGTAGCCTAGCGGTTAAGAGGTTCGGCCAATAACCGACAGGTTGCTGGTTTGAATCCCCAAGCTGACTAGGTGAAAAATCTGTCGATGTTCCCTTGAGCAAAGCACTTAACCCTAGTTGCTCTGGATAAGAGCGTATGCTAAATGACAAAAATGTTAGCCTCTGTGTTAGATGTGGTCTGATAGGCTGTAGCTAACCTAACATTAGCTTTAAAAGCTACAAATCACATTGCAAGATAGCAGCTGGCTAATAACATTAATTTGCTTTGGAATGTCTAGCCAGCGTATTATGAAAGCTAACAAACTAGATTTTGGTTTAGATTAACAAATGTAGTTCGCTAGCTAGTTAGCTAAGTTAGCTACATTACCTCTGCTCAACTTATTTTCTGCTGCGCTGATGTTGGCTGATTGGATGCTTCCTTCTTTGAAGTGAAGGGGAAAATCCTTGGAATAGCTTCCCTTTTCAACTTTCGGCAACCTGGCAACCCCATCAGTTGAGACTTCAGGTTCGTTTCAAAATCCTCTGGCTGAAAGTGCCACAGACATTTGGATATTTCTCCACAGGAGTATTCACATCATAGGCAGCATTCTTTATTGCCGCCAGCCACTGTTGGCTCCGAGGAATATCTCTGGTAGGTAAGCGCTGAAATGTTACCCCAGCAGCCTGTGCTTGCTTGTAGTTTGCACATAACATTTACATTTTAGTCATTTAGCAGACGCTCTTATCCAGAGCGACTTACAGTTAGTGAGTGCATACATTTTCATACTGGTCCCCCGTGGGAATCGAACCCACAACCCTGGCGTTGCAAGTGCCATGCTCTACCAACTGAGCTACAGGTACTGAGCACCACACCATGACTAAACTTTACAATTGTTGTTGACACAAAAATAAAAACAAATCTGATGTTCTATGAACGAGTGGCTGGTCTAGTGAATAACGTTAGCTATCTGTTGACGCCCATTCTCAACTGAATCCACCTCGCCCGGGGTAGTACTACATCCTGAAATCCCTATGAATTCCGGATATTGTGGTTTGCTTACAACCAGGAAATGTAGATGGCCCGTTTCTTCCGGTGAGATGCAGAAATACACATATTTGCGTGTAGTGGGGAAATTCTCAATTGTAACGATGCATTATATGTTAATAACATATTAATGGACATATACAGTGAAAGAGCAGCGGTGAAATTTCTCTTTAAAGCAAGAAAGTAGAGCAACTCAAACTCATTACCAACACAGGTGTAAAAGTGAGGCCTATGCAGTGCCATGACCTGAACTGGTGTGTCTACGTGTCTGTGTCTGTTTGTCCCGCTCCCTCCCCTGGGTCAGATCTTTAAGCTGATGAAGATGGACAGCTACAGGCGTTTCGTCCGCTCCCCTCTCTACCAGAAGTGTACCCTGGCCAGCGTGGAAGGCACGCCACTACCCAGAATCGCCCCTGAGCCCACCAGCACAGGATCATGGGAGAACATGGCCACCGCCAGCCCCTCCCTCAACGACAGCAAGAAGGTGGGATGTGTTTTAATAATAACTATGGAAGTAATGTTTTGATCATTGTTGAAGATTGTTGAAATGTTTCTATTTGGATGTGTGTAATCACAGAGGAAAAGGCGAAGCAACAGGGTTTACTCCGCCCCAAAATCTGTCCACATTAAGCAGATCATTCATTATTAAGCAAGTGAATCGTTTTGGTATGAGAGACTGTCGAATTTAGTAAAGATAAAAATGAATTGCTACTGTATTTTGATACGTGAGGCTTATTTGATCTAATAGAAGTTTCATAATGCTTAGGTTGTTATGAGTGTACTGATATAAGTGTGATGCATGTGACATCCCGGCAACTTTGAGAAGAAACACTTTATATCGGAGTTGTCCCTGTTGACTTTTGAGACTGTATTGCATATTCATGAGGCTAGCATAGCATCTCACTCTCCATTGAATACAGGTGGTTAAATTCAACATCAATGAATATTCCAAAAAGTATTAAAATAATGAGATGTATCCACCAATCCAAAGAGAGGAATAGGCGGGAGCTTGACAGCCCGCTGTTCCGCTCTGTGGACAATGAAACCCATTGTTAGGGTGGAGACAAAAGCATCTCGTCATTATATCCACTATCTCTGGTGTAATCCATTGCATGGGTATGAGTAATAGCTTGTAACCTGTGTTCAGCAGAAGAAGGACAAGCAACGGGAGAAGAGGGGATCATGGGGAGGTAGGCTTCCGCTCATCTGTAATACCTATTCTCTTCCCATGGTATTCTCTGGTAAATGTTTACCACTCCACACACTCTTGTCTGTTTCTCCCTCATCCTTTCTCCCTCCCTTTCTCTCTCCTCCCCTCCCTTCTCAGTAGAGGTGACGTACCCCAAGCTGAATGTGTCTCGTAAGGAGTCTCAGATGTCCAACAGCAGTGTGGAGTTGGGCTCCTTCTACAGGCAGATAGAGGTAAATCAGATCAAATCAAATGTAGCTTTATTTATACAGCACATTTCAGACATGGAGTGCAATGCAATGTGCTTCACAGGAAAAAAACTAATAGAAAACAATGAAAATTAAAACTGAAATATTTACTACAGAACAAACATAAGAGGATAAAAAACAAAATAATATCAATAAAAACTGAATGATTAAAAAGCACCCTAAGGAAAAGCAAAGCTAAAAAGGTGTGTTTTAAGATTTATTTTAAATGTCCACAGTTTTGGCCCCCCTCAGATTCTCTGGTAGGCTATTCCAGAGGCTGGGGTCATAATAACTAAATGCTGCATCTCCATGCCTCTTGGTCCTAGGCTTTGGGATAGTTAAAAGGCCAGTACCAGAGGACCTGAGGGACCTACTGGGTACATAACTTAAAAGCATGTCTGACATGCGCAGTGGTCTAAGGCACTGCATCGCAGTGCTAGCTGTGCCACTAAAGGTCCTGGTTCGAGTCCAGGCTCTGTCGCAGCCGGGAGACCCATGGGCGGCGCACAATTGGTCCAGCGTCGTCCAAGGTAGGGGAGGGTTTGGCCGGCAGGGATGTGGGTTTGTTTCCCACGGGGGGCCAGTAAGTCACTCTGGATAAGAGAGTCTGCTAAATGACTAAAAATGTTTTTACTTTTTTTTTAATGACATGTATTGGGGTGCACAACCGTGCATTGATTTAAAAACGAATCGAAGAATCTTAAAATTAATTCTAAAACTCACAGGCAGCCAGGGCAGAGACCTTAAAACCGGTGTAATGTGTGCTCTCCGTCTGGTCTTGGTCAGTACCCATGCTGCAGCATTCTGTAAGTTTTACAGTTGACCAATGGCTTTGTTGGGTAGACCAGACAAGAGAGCATTACAGTAGTCAAGCCTGCTTGTAATAAAGTCATGGATGAGTCTCTCTGTATCAGCCTGAGAGAGAATCGTCCGCACCTTCGCAATGTTCCTCAGGTGGTAAAAAGCTATTTTAGTCACATTCCTAATGTGTGATTCGAAATTGAGTTCAGAATCTAAAATGACACCTAGTTTTTTTACCTGGTGTCTTATCTTTATTTACCGTGAATTAAAATGTGCTGCCATATTCTCTCTCTGTGGTTTGGCTCCAACAATAAGTACCTCGGTCTTGTTTTGATTTACAGTTGAAGTCAGAAGTTTACATACACCTTAGCAAAATACGTTTCAACTCAGTTTTTTTTCTCACAATTCCTGACATTTAATCCTAGTAAAAATTCCCTGTTTTAGGTCAGTTAGGATCACCACTTTGTTTTAAGAATTTGAAATGTCAGAATAATAGAGATAATTATTTATTTCAGCTTTTATTTATTTCATCACATTCCCAGTGGGTCAGAAGTTTACATACACTCAATTAGTATTTGGTAGCATTGCCTTTAAATTGTTTAACTTGGGTCAAACGTTTCGGGTAGCCTTCCAAAAGCTTCCCACAATAAGTTGGGTGAATTTTGGCCCATTCCTCCTGACAGAGCTGGTGTAACTGAGTCAGGTTTGTAGGCCTCCTTGCTCACACACGCTTTTTCAGTTCTGCCCACACATTTTCTATAGGATTGAGGTCAGGGCTTTGTGATGGCCACTCCAATACCTTGACTTTGTTGTCCTTAAGCCATTTTGCCACAACTTTGGAAGTATGCTTGGGGTCATTGTCCATTTGGAAGACCCATTTGCGACCAAGCTTTAACTTCCTGACTGATGTCTTGATATGTTGCTTCAATATATCCACATAATTTTCCTTCCTCATGATGCCATCTATTTTGTGAAGTGCACCAGTCCCTCCTGCAGCAAAGCACCCCCACAGCATGATGCTGCCACCCCCGTGCTTCACGGTTGGGATGGTGTTCTTCGGCTTGCAAGCAACCCCCTTTTTCCTCCAAACATAACGATGGTCATTATGGCCAAACAGTAATATTTTTGTTTCATCAGACCAGAGTCCATTTCTCCAAAAAGTACGATCTTTGTCCCCATGTGCAGTTGCAAACCGTAGTCTGGCTTTTTTATGGCGGTTTTGGAGCAGTGGCTTCTTCCTTGCTGAGCGGCCTTTCAGGTTATGTCGATATAGGACTCGTTTTACTGTGGATATTGATACTTTTGTACCTGTTTCCTCCAGCATCTTCACAAGGTCCTTTGCTGTTGTTCTGGGATTGAGTTGCACTTTTTGCACCAAAGTACGTTAATCTCTAGGAGACAGAACGCGTCTCCTTCCTGAGCGGTATGACGGCTGCGTGGTCCCATGGTGTTTATACTTGCGTACTATTGTTTGTACAGATGAACATGGTACCTTCAGGCGTTTGGAAATTGCTCCCAAGGATGAACCAGACTTGTGGAGGTCTACAATTATTTTTCTGAGGTCTTGGCTGATTTCTTTTGATTTTCCCATGATGTCAAGCAAAGAGGGACTGAGTTTGAAGGTAGCCCTTGAAATACATCCACAGGAACACCTCCAATTGACTCAAATTATGTCAATTAGCCTATCAGAAGCTTCTAAAGCCATGGCATCATTTTCTGGAATTTTCCAAGCTGTTTAAAGGCACAGTCAACTTAGTGTATGTAAACCTCTGACCCACTGGAATTGTGATACAGTGAATTATAAGTGAAATAATCTGTCTGTAAACAATTGTTGGAAAAATTACTTGTGTCATGCACAAAGTAGATGTCCTAACCGACCTGCCAAAACTATAGTTTGTTAACAAGAAATTTGTGGAGTGTTTGAAAAAATCGAGTTTGAAAGACTCCAACCTAAGTGTAAATAAAGTTCCGACTTCATCTGTAGCTGGAGGAAGTTGTGAGCCATCCAAGTAGTTAAATCACTAATACACTCTAATAATTTATCCGTGGAGCTAAAATCCTCTGATGACACAGAAATATGAAGTTGTGTATCGTCTGCATAGCAGTAAAAATCAATCCTGTGCTTTCTGATAATGCTGATAAATGCATCATACTGGGCTTGACTCGGTCATCTGGGCTGTGGGAGGAGAATAAGGTGGCATACCATATGTTGTATGTAGAAAAATATAGACTTGTATGATTAAGTGTATTCACTTATTTACTTCCTCTCCTCCTGCTCCCATCTCTTTCCTTCCCTCTCTCCCTCTTTCGCGCTCCCCCACTCCCACTCTCTCTTCCTTCTCTCCCTCCCTCTCTGGTCCAGAACGGTCGCTCCAGTCCCCGTCCCTCAGACCAGGGGCAGGGTGATGGAGGTGGTGGTAGTGTGGAGGGGGGTTACTGCTGTGTCTACCTGCCTGACGGTAGTGCCTCTCTGGCCCCTACACGGCCCAGCCTCCCCCTCAGAGAAATGCTGTCAGGCCTCTGTGAGAAGAGAGGCTTCCCCCTCAAAGACATCCTCATCTACCTTCACAGCAATGACAGGGTGAGCCCAGGCCTGCACTTTCAGCTCAAGTCCCACTTTATCACCCCATTTCAGGGACTGAGCTCTGTTTTTAAAGTTATATTCTATTCTATAGTGACGTTATCTATTGTCAGTGTATCTGCTCTCCCTACAGCAGCCACTATCTCTGGAGCAGGACTGTTCAGTACTGAGGGACCAGCAGCTCTCGCTGGAGCTGAGGGTGACGTTCGCGTAAGTCTCACTCAGCCTCAATGTGTTTGTGGGTTTATGTGTTAATGTACCCAGGGTATGTATGTGTGTGATGAATAAGTAAGATGGCACTCTGCTTCTAATTCCTAAGCAACTTTGCAGTATATTTTTTTTAGGTGTTATTTCTTTAATTAATACCCCCAAAAATGTTTTGGTGTTATTACATAAAGCCGGAAATAACTTTTGGATATCAGAGTGACGGTAACTCACCAGCATTTCGACCAGAAATACGACTTTCCTGAATTGGGTCCTTTGTTCGTACCCGCCCAAGGCAATTTAACTTATTCACATTTACATTTTAGTAATTTAGCAGACGCTCTTATCCAGAGCAACTTACAGTTAGTGAGTGCATACATTGTTTTTTTGTTGTTGTTTTTCATACTGGCCCCCCGTGGGAATCGAACCCACAACCCTGGCATTGCAAGCACTATGCTCTACCAACTGAGCTACACAGGGCTAAACTTATCCCAGAGGCTGCTCCAAGACGCCCCCGGCGGAGAAGAGGTATTCGGAGTGGACTTCTAGTCCGATCAGGAGGTGTGCACACCATCCACCAGTTCCGACTATATTACTCGCTAATGTTCAGTCCCTGGACAATAAAGTAGACGAGCTCAGGGCGAGGATCTCCTTCCAAAGAGACATCAGGGACTGTAACATCCTCTCTTTCACGGAATCACTGTGACTATTAAAACCTACCCAAACCAAAAACTGTGGCTAGATGGCAGCATTCGCGCAAAACTGAAAGCACGAACCCCCACATTTAACCACGGCAAGGTGACTGGGAATATGGTTGAATACGTTCATTGCAGTTATGCCCTCCGTAAGTCAATCAAACAGGCAAAATGTCAGTACAGAGACAAAGTGGAGTCGCAATTCAACGCCTCAGACACGAGACGTATGTGGCAGGGACTCGAGACGGATTTCAAAAAGAAAACCAGCCATGCCGCGGACACCGATGTCTTGCTCCCGGACAAGCTAAACACCTTCTTTGCCCACTTTGAGGATAACACATTGCCACCGATGCGGGCCGCTCCCAAGGACTGTGGGCTCTCGTTCTCCGTGGCCGATGTGAGTAAGACATTTAAGCGTGTTAACCCTCGCAAGGCTCCCGGCCCAGACGGCATTCCTAGCCCCTTCCTCAGAGCATGCGCAGACCAGCTGGCTGGAGTGTTTATGGATATATTCAATCTCTCCCCTATCCCATTCTGCTGTCCCCACTTGCTTCAAGATGTCCACCATTGTTCCTGTACCCAAGAAAGCAAAGGTAACTGAACTAAATGACTATCGCCCCGTAGCACTCACTTCTGTCATCATGACGTGCTTTGAGAGCCTAGTTAGATTCACTTCCATTTGCATACCGCCCCAATAGATCCACAGATGATGCAATCGCCATCGCACTGCACACTGCCCCATCCCATCTGGACAAGAGCAATACCTGGAAACAACACTTCCATTATGCTGATCCTCAACACAGGGGCCCCACAAGGGTGCGTGCTCAGCCCCCTCCTATACTCCCTGTTCACCCATGACTGCGTGGCCACGCACGCCTCCAACTCAATCATCAAGTTTGCAGACGACACAACAGTAGTAGGCCTGATTACCAACAATGACAAGACAGCCTACAGGGAGGAGGTGAGGGCCCTGGCGGAGTTGTGCCAGGAAAATAACCCCTCCCTCAACGTCAACAAAACGAAGGAGTTGATCGTGGACTTCAGGAGACAGCAGAGGGAGCACACCCCCCATCCACATCGACGGGGCTGCAGTGGAGAAGGTGAAAAGTTCCTCTGCGTACTCATCACTGACAATCTGAAATGGTCCACCCACACAGACATTGTGGTGAAGAAGGCGCAACAGTGCCTCTTCAACCTCAGGAGTCTGAAGAAATGTGGCTTGGCCCCTAAGACCCTCACAAACTTTTACAGATGTACCATTGAGAGCATCCTGTCGGGCTGTATCACCGTCTGGTACGGCAACTGCACTGCCTGCAACCGCAGGGCTCTTCAGGGGGTGGTGCGGTCTAATAATGTTTACATGATGTTTTACCCACTTCATACAGTGGGGAAAAAAAGTATTTAGTCAGCCACCAATTGCGCAAGTTCTCCCACTTAAAAAGATGAGAGAGGCCTGTAATTTTCATCATAGGTACACGTCAACTATGACAGACAAATTGAGAATTTTTTTTCGAGAAAATCACATTGTAGGATTTTTTATGAATTTATTTGCAAATTATGGTGGAAAATAAGTATTTGGTCACCTACAAACAAGCAAGATTTCTGGCTCTCACAGACCTGTAACTTCTTCTTTAAGAGGCTCCTCTGTCCTCCACTCATTACCTGTATTAATGGCACCTGTTTGAACTTGTTATCAGTATAAAAGACACCTGTCCACAACCTCAAACAGTCACACTCCAAACTCCACTATGGCCAAGACCAAAGAGCTGTCAAAGGACACCAGAAACAAAATTGTAGACCTGCACCAGGCTGGGAAGACTGAATCTGCAATAGGTAAGCAGCTTGGTTTGAATAAATCAACTGTGGGAGCAATTATTAGGAAATGGAAGACATACAAGACCACTGATAATCTCCCTCGATCTGGGGCTCCACGCAAGATCTCACCCCGTGGGGTCAAAATGATCACAAGAACGGTGAGCAAAAATCCCAGAACCACACGGGGGGACCTAGTGAATGACCTGCAGAGAGCTGGGACCAAAGTAACAAAGCCTACCATCAGTAACACACTACGCCGCCAGGGACTCAAATCCTGCAGTTCCAGACGTGTCCCCCTGCTTAAGCCAGTACATGTCCAGGTCCGTCTGAAGTTTGCTAGAGTGCATTTGGATGATCCAGAAGAGGATTGGGAGAATGTCATATGGTCAGATGAAACCAAAATATAACTTTTTGGTAAAAACTCAACTCGTCGTGTTTGGAGGACAAATAATGCTGAGTTGCATCCAAAGAACACCATACCTACAGTGAAGCATGGGGGTGGAAACATCATGCTTTGGGGCTGTTTTTCTGCAAAGGGACCAGGACGACTGATCCGTGTAAAGGAAAGAATGAATGGGGCCATGTATCGTGAGATTTTGAGTGAAAACCTCCTTCCATCAGCAAGGGCATTGAAGATGAAATGTGGCTGGGTCTTTCAGCATGACAATGATCCCAAACACACCGCCCGGGCAACGAAGGAGTGGCTTCGTAAGAAGCATTTCAAGGTCCTGGAGTGGCCTAGCCAGTCTCCAGATCTCAACCCCATAGAAAATCTTTGGAGGGAGTTAAAAGTCTGTGTTGCCCAGCGACAGCCCCAAAACATCACTGCTCTAGAGGAGATCTGCATGGAGGAATGGGCCAAAATACCAGCAACGGTGTGTGAAAACATTGTGAAGACTTACAGAAAAAGTTTGACCTGTGTCATTGCCAACAAAGGGTATATAACAAAGTATTGAGAAACTTTTGTTATTGACCAAATACTTATTTTCCACCATAATTTGCAAATAAATTCATTAAAAATCCTACAATGTGATTTTCTGGATTTTCTTTTCTAATTTTGTCTGTCATAGTTGACGTGTACCTATGATGAAAATGACAGGCCTCTCTCATCTTTTTAAGTGGGAGAACTTGCACAATTGGTGGCTGACTAAATACTTTTTTTCCCCACTGTATGTATATACTGTATTCTAGTCAATGCCATCCTATTAAACTATTGCTGTATATATATATACAATTATATCCTGCGTATTCTACATATATACTAAATACTCTATCCACATACTGTCCATAATGTCTATACATCCCATCATATATATATATTTATACTCCGGACTCCGACATTGCTCGTCCTAATATTTATATATTTCTTAATTCCATTATTTTACTTTTAGATCTGTGTGTATTGTTGTGAATTGTTAGATATTACTGCCTGCTGGAGCTAGGAACACAAGCATTTTGCTACACCTGCAATAACATCTGCTAAATATGTGTATGCGACCAATAACATTTGATTTGATTTGTGTACTTTGTGTGAATATGTATTGTATATTGCTGTGTGTGTGTTTCAGGTTGGAGGTGGTGTTCACTGGTAAGACAGTGGGCATCATGGTGAAGTCCAGTAAGACTCTGCAAGATGCCCTCTCTGTTGTATTACAGAAACACCAACTCAGAACACACGAGGCCATGGTCACAATGGTGAGGACTGTGTCTGTGTGTGTGTGCGTGTGTGTGTGTGTGTTATAGAACGTCTTGAGGGAATGTGTGTGTGTTCTAGAAATTCTGAGTGAATATGTGTGTGTGTGTGAGAGAAAGTGTGTGTGTGAGAGAGTGTCTGTGTGTGATCATATGTCCTGTTTTGCAGAGTGGGAGTGATGTGCCACTGAGCATGAGCACCAACGTGTTCAAACTGGCCAATAAGAAGCTGCAGCTCTACAAGGTCAAAGGTGAATACATAGTGATTAGCCCACACATGTTAACTAGTGCTTTGTCCCATGATGAAAATAATAATAATGGACAGGATTCAGGGCATTGTAGTGCTGGGGTTGTGTAACCTCACTGGTGTTCCAGTCCATGAACCCTCACACTACTACCTCTCTCTCTCTCTCTCTCTCTCTCTCTCTCTCTCTCTCTCTCTCTCTCTCTCTCTCTCTCTTCTCTCTCTTCTCTCTCTTCTCTCTCTCTCTCTCTCTCTCTCTCTCTCTCTCTCTCTCTCTTTCAATTCAATTCAAAGGGGCTTTATTGGCATGGGAAACATGTTTACATTGCCAAAGCAAGTTAAATAAACAAAAGTGAGAAGACACAAAACAACATCAACAAAAAACGTTTAGAATTTAACTGAAAATATCCTTTATTTATTTTTTAAGATAGACATTTCAAGTGTTATATTATCAGCGTTTTATTTCCTTCTCTGTTTCTCTAATGGAGAAGACATCCTTCTCTGGCTCTTTCTATTCTGCCTGCCCGTACACTATTATGCACTCCCCCCCATGCTCTCTCTCTCTCTCTCTCTCTCTCTCTCTCTCTCTCTCTCTCTCCCTCTCTCTCTCGCGCGCGCTCTCTCTCTCGCACTCTCTCTCTAGTAGATGTCTGAGTACATTTGGCTTGTTGAGTGCTGTGTCACTGTGAGTTCACTCATCTTCTCTCTCTACTGCTCTGGGACCAGAACTGCCTTCACGTTGGATAAGTGGTCACTCCCTGAGGCCTACTCATTACTGAGAGAGAGGGACTAGGATATACTGAGGAGAAAGGGACTGGGGGAAGGGGGGGGGGGGTCTTTTTTTATCTAGCTTCTTCTGGGAAAAGTGCCTTTTAGGTGACTGATGTCAGGGTTTTGCCTTATGTCAAACTCCATAACATGTACACTAGCCTGCCTATAACTGACTATTGTTGTTGTGTTGTCTTTACAGTTAGCAGTTCCAGGGTCAGTGGCTCAACTCCAGTCACACAGGTGAGTCCTGCATGGTGATGGCCAGTTTGCATGGTAAGGAAAAACTCCTGGCCCTACTCATGTGTCCAGAGCTTAGCATGTGAAGTATTTGTGTGTTCTTCTGAAACATTTCCAGGAGCGAGCTACATCTCCAGTAGGCCCAGAGGTCAGTGTGTCCCCTCAGGCAGCCAACCCCAAGCCCAGGGTCAAGAAGAACCAAGAGATGGATGGTACGAGTCAGAACAATGGGGTCATGGCTTATTTACTGCGCCTGTCTAAGACTAAACCCCATAGACTTCCTAATAGCTGTAACAATAACCATTTAGTCTCACCTTAGCCCTAGTCTGAGACAAACTGAATACTTTCTCTCTCCCCTTTTCCAATCCCTCTGTCTCTCTCTCAGCGATGATAGAGCTGTTGTCCAGAGCTCAGGCCTGTAGGGTGGATGACCAGAGAGGCCTGCTGACCAAGGAACACCTAGAGCTGCCCCAGTTCCTCCTGAAACCCCCTACCCAGGACCAGGAGACCCAACAGGGGGATGGAGCGCCCACAGACACTAAGAAGGAGTCAGATAACCAACCCACCACCTCCTCCACTCCCACCCCTGTTGGAGAAGCAGAGTCAGGAGAGTGTGTAACAGACTCATCAGGTTCCAAACACATAGGCTCACAATAAACAAGTGTCTGAGAGAGAACGCTTTTATAAGTGTAACTTTTACTTTGTGTGCCTGGTGTAAGTGCGAGAGTGTGTGTGTCAACATGCTGAGGTCAGGTTTGGTCAAAGGGATGTTGACACATGTAGCAATTCATCCTGTTTAAAGATTGATTATCAAAGATTATATAACTACTACAAAAGACAACACTGTCTTTTGCTCCTAGAGTGTGTTGAAGTATGTTGTCTAGCACAAGTTGTGCACAGGAAGACCACAACTATTAAGAGACCTAGTCAAGCACTTTTGCTTATGATTGTCTGAATAAGGTCAGCGACCAATGTGTTATCACTGTCTCTGGTACGAAACTTTATTAACTCTATTGTTTGTTTTAATCCCCAATGTCAAAGGTACAATATGTCATGAAATGTTATGATATGAAGAATCTGTAATAGCTTCCAATTCCTCCCCAGAAGTCTGATTTATAAAAAACACAGTTCTGTTTTTCAATGGAGGAATGACTTTCAAAAGGGTCTTTCATATTTCTTTGTAACTAATAGTACTTTTAGTCAATTTTCTTTAGTGTGTGATTTGATATTTAACTAAGGTGTTTGATATTTTGCATTTTGAGTACTTTTCTCTCTTGTGAAAGTTTGATATTTAATTTAATTGATTAGTTGACATTTAATACTTATGAGCACATTTTATTTCTTTGCTGTATTTGCACTTTGAATGCCAGGTCTTCTGTGACTGTTAATCCTTTTTTCACTGTGTTCTCAGAGTGCTACTCAGGGTCAAACTTCAGTATTAACCTATATTGTTCTCATGTATTGTACAGTACATTAATAAATTAGGTGTTATTGATCTAATTTACCTCGGTAGCTGACTGTTTACTCTCTCACATCCATTGCAGAGTAATCTGATGCTATTACGCAAGATTTTAGTTAATGGTCTCGGAGATTAATAGCAGTGTTGTCATCCGAATTGAACATGTCAATGGGGCTACACTCTGATTGGCTCTGACTGTCCTTCACCTCCATAAAGTTGTTGCTGGAAGGTGCTCCCTCTTTGAAGATGCTTCTCTCGGATGGGGGCAGGTTTTGGGGGTTACGTATCTGTCAATCAGAGATTAAATGATTATGATAGAATCTTTCACTAGACTACACCGACAAGCTGACATTACAATGCGAGGAAGTCTATGGCTGGTTAGCTGGAAAACACCTGCATCATAACACTTTTACACTCTAATGAAATAGTTTTGCAAGTATTTACATACAGTGAAGGGCATGTAAATGCCAGACTTCCCAGACTGATTGATTGAAGGATGTAGTCTGGGAAGTCTGATGTGTGTGTTTGTGTGAGTGTGTGTGTGTGTGTGTAATATAAATAAAGGAACGGTAAACGATCAACTCTGACATTCCTGGTACTAAAGGATTGTCATGCTTTGACTGCACACACAATGTAACTCTTTGTTATCAATCATGTATGTAAATGCTTGCAAAACAATTTGAAATAGAAACGTGTTATGGTGTGGTGTGTGTGTGTGCGTCCATGCATGCCTGGTGCGTCAGTGGAACTATGAATGGGCTGAGAGGGGTGTGCACTGTCAGAGGCAGCAGTACACCAGTGAAATGAGGAGCACTATCTCCGTACCAGCACATCTCCACTGAGAGAGAGAGAGAGAGAGAGAGAGAGAGAGAGAGAGAGAGAGAGAGAATAAAGGAAGGAGAAATAAGGAACAGGTGTGTATCATTTTGTCCCTCGGTTTTGCAATAATCTGTCATTTTCTTGTGATTTCAGGATGTGTTCAGTTATTTTCATTCTCACTCTGTCTGTTTCTCTCTATCTCTCCCTCTCTGGGATGAAATGCTTAGCTGTATTTAATGCTGTGAGCTATTGAGGTTCTAGACCAAATTGTCTTATATCCTCATTCAGACCCTCATATATGTAATATTCAGGTGGCGCCATAGAACGAGGCAAGTGAAAAGGTAAGCTTAATGTGTGTGCGTGTGAGAGATTTAGTCATTTGAAAACAATACCTATTGTGGTTCAAATGTGATCCAAATTCGTGTGCTTAGCCAGTGAAGGGCAAAGAGGATGTGTTCTGTATGGTAAAACTGAAATGAGTGAGATGGTGGGAAGCATAATGTAAGGAACTGATTCAGGATCAGGTGAGATGTGCTTGGCTGAGCTGTGACAATGCCAGGGAGAGTGCCGCAGCAATGGCAACTGTTTCAGGATTAGTAGACGGTAGAGACAGTGGATATGGCTGAGTGTGGGAAAGCTGATGGCCAGTGGTTGTGTACTGTATAGGTCACGTCCTTGGAATCGGTGTGTTATTCAGTGTGACGTTGTGTGATTATTCTATTCTTGTCGTCTCATGTTCACCTGTATCTTTCTTGGTTTCATCTATTTTTTTCGTGTGCGTATGTCAGTGGAGGCTCGTCAGAGGAGGAAGGGGAGGACCATCCTCCTCAGTGAATTTCATTAAAATAGTGAAACATTAAAAGGTTATAATTTTTTGATAAAACTATACTAAATATATTCAGATCACCAAATAATTGATTAAAACACACTGTTTTGCAATGAAGGTCTACAGTGGCCTCAACAGCACTCTGTAGGGTAGCACCATGGTGTAGCCGGAGGACAGGCAGTTTACGTCCTCCTCTGGGTACATAGCTAGTTTACGTCCTCCTCTGGGTACATTGACTTCAGTACAAAACCTAGGAGTGCTTGTAAAACAAGTAGCATTGTCGCTAACCAACATTTGAGGCAATCCCATGACACTAAAGCTTTGTCTCAACTTCTCAATCATAGCATGCGATGTTGACGTGTTCATGGGGTAAACATCCATCCACTTTTAATGAGAATCAATCAGCACAAGGAACAGTAGTCGTGTCCATGGTTTTTCCGGCCCATTCCCATGGATGTAATGGCGCGGTGGGGGGTGACTTCCTGTTACTCTGACAATCTACACACAGGCTAACCTCATTTTCCACATCCTGGTCCATCTTTGGCCACCAGACGTGTGACCTCGCTAGGCCTTTCATTCTCGACATATCTGGATGCGACTGGTGCAACAACTTCAGTAGCATACCCGCTCTTGTGGTGGTATAACTACTCTTGAACCCCACAGAACACACCCATCTCGAACACTTAAGGCCAAGCGGCGAGCGTAGTAAGCATGATCTAAGGCTCTGTCACTGTAGGCCATCCTTTCAGGATAAATAAGTGAAGTTGTGATAGCGTCCATTGCCTGATTTGTGCTGTGTTCACCGGTGCATCATCCAACACATCGATCATCAAGACTTGGTCATTTTCTCCTTCCTGAGCAATGATTTCTGGAACAGGCAGCCTACTCAGAGCATCAGTATTCCCATGGTATCTACCTAGCTTGTAGACTATTCTGTATAATAATAATAAGAATAATATGCCATTTAGCAGACGCTTTTATCCAAAGCGACTTACAGTCATGCGTGCATACATTTTTGTGTATGGGTGGTCCCGGGGATCGAACCCACTACCTTGGCGTTACAAGCGCCGTGCTCTACCAGCTGAGCTACAGAGGACCACTGTACTCATAGGCCCTGAGCCACACAGCCCAACATTTAACTCTTGGAGAGACCATTTGTGGTACTGGCTTTTGTTCATGGAACAGAGAGATCAGAGGCTTATGGTCGGTCACAATAGTGAATGTTCTCCCATATAAAGTACTTGTGGAATCTCTGTATTCCGAATATGACAGCCAGTCCTTCCTTGTCCAGCTGGGAGTATTTTTTCTCTGCTGGCAACAATGTTCTTGACATGAACCCGATAGGTTTCTCTGCGACATTCTCCATCTGATGTGATAGAACTGCCCCCACACCATACGATGAGGCGTCACACGATAAGATGAGGTCTCTGTATGCTGAGTAGTGCACCAGCACTTCTGTTGATTTCAGTAACTCCTTTGACTTTGTCAAAGCTTCTTCCTGTCTTTCTGACCATTCCCAGGCCACATCCTTCCTTAACAGTTGATGCAGTGGAGCTAAGAAGGTAGAGAGGTTAGGGAGGAATCGATTGTAATAGTTCAGTAAGCCTAGATAGGCTTTCAGCTCTGTAATGCTTGTCGGAGCTGGAGCTTCCACAACAACCCTCACTTTAGCTTTGACAGTGTGTAACCCCTTGCCATCCACCTTGTGACCCAAGTACTGCACTTCATCAGCTAACAGTGTACACTTGCTCCTCTTCAGCCGGAGACCGGCCTCTTCCATCCTCCTCAAAACTTCACCCAAGTTTCTGAGATGCTCCTCCTTCATGACTCTTTTGACAAGAATGTCGTTGAGGTTAACCGCTACCTTGGGTATCCCCTGCAGAACTCCCTCCATTGTTCTTTGGAAGATAGCTGGTGCGGAGGACACCCCGAAATGTAAGCATTTGTAGGTAAACATCCCACTGTGGGTGTTTATGGTCAGGTACTTCTGTGAAGCTTCATCCATTATCACTTGCTGATATGCTTGACTTATGTCCAGTTTTGTGAACTGTTGCCCTCCGGTTAACGTTCCAAGTAAATCCTCCACTTTGGGTATGGGGTACTGCTCCAGTGACTAAACTCTATTTACAGTCAGTTTGTAGTCACCGCATAATCTGATTGAACCATCTGGTTTGAGTATGGGAACAACTGGTGCTGCCCACTCAGAGAACTTGACAGGAATAATGATATCCTCTGCTAAGAGTCTGTCTGTCGTTAGGCTTCATGGCATATGGAACTGATCTTGGCCTATAGAATCTGGGAGTAGCATCTGCAGCAGCATGAATGGTAGCTTGGACCCCTTTTAATGTCCCTAGCTCTTCTTTGAAAACACACTCGTGCTTTGAAAGCACCTGCTGCAGTGTCAATGTCTCTGTGGTGACATGTTTGATTTCATCCCAGTTCAATTTTATTTCCGCCAACCACCATCTCCCTAGTAAACTGGGGCCAGTACCTTCCACTACTAAGAGAGGCAGACTTTTATTTTGTCCTTGATATTCCACATCAGCAACTCCAATCACAGTGATTTCCTCCATGTACATTTTGAGTTTAATGGGGGTGTCTCTCAGTTTAGGCACTTCACCTTTTTCTACTTCTCATTGAATTGGGACCTGTTCATCAGTTTGACGCTACATCCTGTGTCTATTTCAAACCTTACCTTAAGTCCATTTATTCCCATTTCCACAATGAAAGGCTTCACCTTTTTCATATTCGCCCCCTGTACACTGTACATTGAGAGCGCTTGCTCTGTGTACTCACTTTCACTTTCTATTGCTTGATTTGAGCGGTAGTTAGAGCGTCGTGAGGTATTCGGTTTTCTTTAGCCCCTTGTTTTTTCTTATTGCGGCACGCCCTCGCAATGTGTCCTATT